TCTTTTAGGATTCAAAGGACATGATGTAAGAGAGTGGCTAATGAAACAAATTATTTCAGGACAGGTTCACAAACTGTGCTCCTTGAGGGGAAAAATGGTAATTTTTGTCATATATGGACAACTGCATTTTTCAAAGTGCACTTTTTAAGGAGACAGAAATCCAGGACAGAAAGTATGGACACAAGTGACAGATGCTTGTAGAAAATCCTCTGAAATCTGGATAAGCGGTACAGTCCAAATGCCTATTTCAATATATAGAGATGGCATGTTGTGAGAGGACAGTGCCACTACAAACCTTCACAGTGGGTATCTGCATGCCTGTGTGCTCCTTGTAAACCTTCACAAACTGTCCAAGTAGAAAACCTTATATTCTTAAAATTCTCATTAAGGGCCCCCAGGCCCTACTCTAAGCACACACGTTCTCTCCCTGAAAAGCAAGACCAAGCAGCTTCGAACGGCTTTCCTCAACCTCCCCATTCAGATAATAATTGACTGTAACTGCAAAGAGAATTAGTCCCAAACAGAGCGTACTTCAGCTAACACAGGGAGAAAAACAGAGTCCTATCTGTAACTCTTTCCCTGTTAATGACATCCACATCAGGTTATTAATTAAATTAAAAAGTTTTCTATCCAATTAATACTTTATTTTAATAAAAGTAGGACTTAAAATGCGAATTCACTTTAAATATTCATAGTAGGGATTTGGGGCACTGTGGGGATTTTATTTTTGGCTTTTCACATGGTTTCCATCATGAAAACAAACTACCCAATTTTACTTTTAGTTCATTTCTTCCTGGTTTCATCTTCCAGTTCACATGGTCTAGTATAACATAACTATATCTGGATCAAACACAGCTTCCTAAAAGAATAGTTTCCAATGAATTTGGAAAAAAAATAATTCAAATTACTTTAAACTTTGTACCATACTGCTTTTACCTTCAGTATCTTTTCAATCCTAACACTAATCTTTCAATCGTACTACAAATATATTTTTCCAAGTGTTTGTTCCATAGAATAAAATATAGTCACTTGCATACTTGTCCTACTAATAGCTACCAGAATTTCTGGTATTTTCAAAGTCTTACACAGGTGGTGGAGTTAGCCAAAACACTTCTCTTTCCAAGGGCATTCCAGTAGCTAGTGTTAATTGTTAGTGGTATGGCAAGCTAAATACAGCTTTCAGCGGGGATTGCAGGAGTATAACTTGAAGGATTTTAGTCCACCATGGCTACGCTAGACTTCGGAGCCTGAAGCCCTGGTCAATCTAGATCTCCTGAGGCATCCTACAGCTTTTTCCTAGCCTGCCTGTCCAGCTCTTCTGAACGGAAACGGGGGAAGACATGCGAGGGTCTCGTCTTGCCAAGCAGCCGGGAAGTCATCCAGACACAGGAGCTGGGAAGCAGTGTGAGAACATTAGTAGAGACGTGACCTGTGTTAAACATAAATTATGCAACCAGCTTCTTCTGCCCTTGCTAATATAAGCAACAGGTTATATGAACTCAAAATCCCATCAAAAAGTGTATATAAAAAGCGCTTGTGTCAACCGGGAGACAAGGTCTTCAATTATTTAAAATAGATGTTTATAATTCTACCAAGTAAATATATGAATTTTGTGTTGACTGCTCTGAAGGTGTAGGTCTTTAACCACTGCAGCTAAACTCATTACAATTTGTCCAGGAATACTCTCAGGTCTGTAATTGCCAACATTTTGTTAGTTTGCCAAAGTGTTAACAGTGCTAATATTTCATTTTTTACAGTTGATGAGGGGATAACATTTTAAGTTTAATTCTACAGGCTGAAAAAAAACCTTTCAAAAACATTTTTTTCAGTTAAAATATTGAGGGCAATCACTATTAAGCCTACAGAAGTTGCTATGCATTTTGGTATTAGCTCCAACTGGCTACAGGAATAGTCTCCTAGGAGTCTCCAGATGGCTTCCAAATGGAATATAATTTCTGAGAAACAGACTGGGCTTCTGTATGGCAGAAACGAGCATTTCAAGTACATAAGCTAACCATTAACAGAGCTATTAAACCTAATGCAACAGTAGTAGAAAAGAACTAGAAAATTTTTTTCTTTTTGTAAAAAAGATCCATTTCCACACTATATTCTATATATAAATACAGGAATTTATACAACCAGTAAAGATCTTCTATTGATGATTACCAAATAATGCTTTATCAATCCTGCTGACACTACCATTCATCTCTGAAGAGGCAGCAGAGATGTTTTAAGTCCTGTCCAAACTCCTCAGCTTCCTCAAGTCATCAAAACCTCCTCCTTTTATGTAAGACAGCAATACAGTCATGTACAGTTCCTGCAAACATTAAATCTTCGCAGTTAGAATAAGCAGCATCAAACCTGGATGATATGAAAATCATACCACAACATACAATCTATGAAAACAGAATCAAAAAAATGGGCGAGCCCGTGGTATAAATGTAACACTCAGGACGCTGCAGTTGAGAGGTACTTATGTGATCGGGGTGAAAAAATAAATTTATAATTATATACTTTTCTGTGGCTCTCACTTACTCACAGGAGTGACAAGATGATTTCCTGGTTGTAAGCTAAATATATTGCTCCAGCTCGGTTATCCTCAACAATATACATCGCTTGTGACTTCACCTTTCACAAAGACTTTTTGCAATGCTAATTATTAGTTACCAGAGCTGTCAAACTTATATGCAAGAACTTAATACTTAGGGGCACAGAGAGAGCAATGGAGAAACAGTAGTAAACATTAGTAATGCAATCATTAATAGGAAGCATCGAGCAAAATGGAATCACTGCGGGGGTTTTTGTCTTACATGTCCATTGTGGAATTATCTATGTATGTGTAATACGTAGTTTTACATCTTTTTTTAAAGTAGGACTATGGAACATCCTCTCATATTTGCTGTATATATTAATTTTCCATTACATGTGAAAAAGGTCTCCTGCCAGTCTTCCCAAAAGGAAGACTAGATGCACTGAAAAACACTGATAATTTTACCCGTGAAATAAGATCTGTTCATTACGAAGGCATTATGAAATTTTCATTAAGTGAATTAGCATCGCTGAGTTCAATTAAAAACTCAAAACTGGCAGGTTATCTATTTCTCTACAAAAAGCACAGGAAAATATGAAATGGGCCATTATAAAAAAAATCAGTTGTTCTTGTTCGCATTACAGTTATACAACATTGCAGTATGAATTTCTTTGGGCAGGGATGGAGAGAGAAAGATGATTTCTATTTATTATTTACAGGACCAAGCATGTTTACTCCAGTCCCAAAGTAAGAAATACTGGATTGAAATAGTCTGGGAGGGTTTTTGATCACACACTTTACATTTTACTGTTCTTCCAAGTTTAAAATATTTTTCTTTGAAAGAAAGAGATGTTCAAGAGAAAAAATAGTGGTTAAAGGGAAATACATAAAAATGTATCACAAGGAAAATTTGCAATTGCCATCATATAAAAAATTTCATTTTTGAACAAGTTTTTTCTTTAAAGTATTGTAAAAAAACCCCAACACCTGCAACCATGAGTTTGCCTGATTTCATTCAGTTTCTAAGAAGAAGGCATTAGGCATTATAAAGGCAACACTTGCATGACCCAAATCAGAGGTTGCTACAGCAATTGAATACAGTGAACTGGAAAAACCCTATTCAAAAATGACAAAACAGAAACATGCTCTTAGCAATCTGCTGCCATTTTAAAACATGCATTTCTCCTCTTCCTCTTCCTGAGGTGTAGGGCATTTCACCTATATGAATACCAGCCACTTCAAAAAAACGCCGGTTGCTCTGTATTCCTTTCAGATTTTAAGGTATGCTGACTGACCACAGAAATCAAGCGTATTCGTCTAGGAGCAAAAAATTCATCCAGTAAACTTGGTATAGTGATTTTTTGTCTTGATTAATCTAGCATGTTGAATCGGGCTCCACAAGATCTATTGGGATAACTTGTTTTCCAAAAAACTAACTACTTTTAGGGGATGTGTTTACCTTATTTTCATTGAAATATTGGGATGTATGCTTTGAAGCACTTTAAACATCAGGATTAAATTATAAAGAATTCAGTTCTTTAAAAAGGTAGCTATGTATGTCCTTAGTTCTAGGAGCTGGGACTTTTACAGCAGTAAGGAAAAAAAACAATACTTGGAAATTACAATAATCATGAGATAGTAACACTGTGTTCAAAAGTCTTTCTGTAGAAAAGCCACATCACTAAACACAGTTACGACCCATGACCTCGGCAGAGAAACCCCGTAAAATATTTTGAGCCTCCTTGTCAGACGCATTTGGATTTGATAGCCAACACTAGTCTAAGGCATAGAGTTGCATAAAATTTGCTCTCCTGGGCATCTAATAAATACAGCATAAATGATGCTTACAATTTTTTTCCTACTTGCACATTTTAAAAAAACTTCTGCTTAGGACAATCAAAGTTAAATTCTTTGGTGGTCATGTAAAAAAAATGAACTATACAAAGACAAGTGATCAGTTGTCCTATACTGAGGTAATTTGAGGAGTGCCATAAGAACATTGCATTACAAACACCACTTGCCCATTTTCCCTTGCATAAAAGCAGCTCCCATTTTTTAATATACTCAGCGCAGACCTCTACAGCAACCCGAAGAGATCCTGTTCCATAGCCCATCTTAACGCACGGCAGATAGCAAGGCTGAAAGTTGTAAAGAGAGTGTATCCTACAATCAGGAAAGCAAAGAAAGTTCTTCCATGTATTATGTCCTTGAATCGACCAGGAAGATTAACTACATAGTCTACTGTAACATCGATGTATTAGAATGCTGCCACACATTAAAATATAGCATAGCTTACGGAGAACAAAGAGAAAAGGAAATGCAACTTGCGAAGATTTGACGGATGCCATCTGAACATTATTAAAGGGGTCAATGTCAAGTACATTAAAAAAAAATATATAATCTTTCCATTGTTTGCATTTTCTTTTTATGGAGAACAAAAGAGAAAAGGAATGCAACTTGCGAAGATTTGACGGATGCCATCTGAACATTATTAAAGGGGTCAATGTCAAGTACATTAAAAAAAATATATAATCTTTCCATTGTTTGCATATGCTTTTCATACAACAGCATGAAAATCATGTCACTTGGTAAAGGGATTTTGGCTTGTTTTTTATGGAAAACCTAATGGAACATAGCCTTTTACTTTTGTTTGTTTACCAGAATAATCAATTATGTCCACAGAGCTCCCAGAGTGGTGCTTGTTGAACCTACAGCAGCAAGAGCACATAGTACTATAATTGGATATAAACAAAGCCTATTTTGCTCCTTTTGAATTTTTTTTTGCAATAAAACAATGAGGGGAATAGATTTTACTTTCCAAGAGACGATTCCCGTCTACTTTCCAAGGGACGACTCCCATCGTACTCATGAGAAAGGGAGGGCAAAAGTAGGATGCAGTACTTGACGTTGGCCCCTTTAACGGGGAAAATAAGCTTTGGAAGAAACAAATGAAACCTTACTCTGCTGCCTACCAGGAAAACATAAATAGATACTAAGATACTCTTTAATCTGTAAGAAATGTCAAACCTACTCGATTAAGTAAAAGTCAAGTGTTCCTCATGCCGCAATGACGCATTGTTAGGAACAGCAAGGAGAGAGCGATTCTGTGCAAGTTTTCTGGCAGGTGGTGCAATATCATCTCATCTCAAACATTTGAGTAGGTTTTTTTGTAGATATACGCAAATTATTTTTCTACTAGATTAACATCTTTGTGAAAAATTAACCAGGAAATTCAATTATGAAGCTATGTTTTGTTTAAGTAAACTGTAAATAAGCTTACAAGTTCTGGTCTAACGCAATTTCTAAACAAAGATGTTTTTCATTTTTTAACCTGTTTACACTCATGGATTACTATCTTGCATGTGATTCATCTTTGCATGCATAGCGTAAAACCTTAGAGTTTGTTTTTTAAATTTTTATGATCTACCGATGTAGGAGTGCTGACAAGAAACAAATTGATGACTTTGTAAAGAAACGCATACAGAGACATTTTTAAATTAATAGTAAGTTAGTAATGAGTAAAAGCTTACCCCACAAAAATCAAATCAGCTGCTACATTTTAAAACTCTTCTTATGTATAACTAAAATGAATTTTCCTGTAAAAATTTTTCATTAGTCTTTCAACCTGCTTTTTGAATAATAGAATAAATAAAACCATTAGTGCCTAAAAGTTCAAATATGCTACAGATGTTTAAGATAACTGAATAACTACATTAAAATGCACCATGAGAAAATTCTTTATCATTTTCCATGCAGGAAGCCAATTGATATTTTTGTGAGGTACCGGTCTTTCAAAAATACTCATAAGTTAGTTACCTGATATACCTTCTGTACATGGTATATTTAAAAATCTAACTGTACAGTGTTTCAATCATATATAATGCATATAATCTGCTGAATATGGCACAAATGCTAAGTTTCCACACCCACACATCCTCTGCCGTAGAACACATTTTAGGCATAACACAACACTGAAGAATAGAAAAGTGCCTGAAACTGAAAAAAAAAAAAAAAGACACTCAAGTAGTAATAAATTAAATCTCATTCAAACCGATATAAAAGTTGTTCAAGTGTTTAAAGTATCAGATGTGTCATGCAACAGAACAACAGACGATTCAGGCAGGCACACCATGCATTATAGTTTGCATTCATGGTATCACAAGGTATCTCTCCCCCATTCTGCGTGGCCAGTGAGTGCTGGGTACCTGCGGCACTGCTAGGCTCACGTGTTGAACCTCCAAAACCTCTCGGTCTCCTGCACGGGAGGTTTTATGAAGCTGTGCCTCGGAAGGATAACCGGACAACCTCATGCTGTACAGTGGTATCTTGCTGCAGTGCAGTGTAAAGAGAGGCATACTGAGCTGCATGTAAGCAAAGCAATCATTTCTCGATTATATTTTCCAGTCAGTGCAGTTCACCATAAACCAATCGATTTACCAAAATGTGCTTATCTGAACTGGCCAAGTTTGCACACCAAGAAAATGTCTTCGCAGAACATACCACCTTTTCTTTTTTTTTGGCACAAATCCTTTTGTACGCTTGCAGCAAGCTCTTCACCATACAAGAATTCGGAGATACTAGCCTGTACAAACACACCGGTGCTTATTCTTCCATAGAGTAAACTACAAAGACAGCTAAGTGCCTGCAACAGCTTTGCTTCTCCAGCAACTTTCCCTTCGCTCTCTAGGGAGAGCACCAGCATAATTACACTTCAGACAAAGGGGTGTTCTTGCCGAGCTCTTTAATTCCCTGGAGAATTCGCTTCATATGACCCACTTTCGTTATCCCCAGGTCCTACAGAAATTAAAAAAAAAAAAAAGAAAAGAAAAAAAAGAGAAAAAGAAGAAAGTTTATTTACAGAAAAGGAAAAAAACCCCAACCCATTGATTATGATCTAGCCATGCAACAAATGTCTAGAAATGTGCTCGCTGCAATCAACGATAACCGGAAAACATTCTATGGCACTAGCAAGTGTTGCCTAACAAAAAAAATTGCTTAGAGCATACAATGAATGCCTCTCTGTCTTGCAGACAGAAAATTACTTACCTGCAATAATGACAACCCAAGGCACTGCAATATCTGTCAAAAACATCTTTCGCTTGACTTCTAAGTACAAAAACCTTTCGCAATTTCTGGCAACAAAAGAACAATCTCCCCCTCCTCTCTAATACAGCAATCAAATGCTTGGTAGGATGTGATGGATTAGAGCTTCTGTCCAGCAATGTCACTTGATCTGAGGCCCTGTGATGTCTGTTTTAATCAACAAACGCACACATCCCCAGTTTCTCGAGGGAAAGTGGATGTAACGGCTACAGGCATGTAGGACAACTTCCCTTTAGAGAGCAATAGAAAAGGTAAGCATTTGTTTTTCATTCCAAAAGGCTTACGTCTCCTAACATGGATCTTCTCGATTAGAGAGCTGTAAGAAAAATTCTCAGAAACATGACAGTCACGTCCCAAAGGAAAATGTAAAAAGCACAAGCGTAAATCTCCTTGTAGCCACCACTAGAGCAATCACATCAGCTGAAATGTTTCTAATATTAGATTCCGGGACCCATCTCCGTACGAGTGACAACAGACAAGAAATTTTTGCAGCAAACCTCTTCCAGCATTAATAACAGCTTTAGCAGCATCCTTTTTCAATTTGACTGGTCCAATGGTCAGAGGAGCCGCTGTGCTAATGATGCCCAACTGCACTAATGAATTTTTAGCTCAGTTTGGTGGAAATCTGCTTCCCTTACCTGTAAAATCCAGCTTTGAAAAACTCTTTAAAATCCTTGTGTTAGTGATGTTGAGCAAGTGGCAGATTCAAACACTACTTATTTGTAGAATAAACCTTATATAAATAGATTGTGATTAAATACAAAAACCTTAGAAACGTTTCACTATCTAGTTTTCTGAAATAGAAATCCTTTCATTTTAATAGGAAGGTTTTCTATTATGAAGACATTAAAAGGAAGGGAGTGTAATTAAGCAGCTTGAAATAATTACTCTCATACAGAGTGAAAAATGAAACCATATATAATATTCTGTACATACTCTATGCAAAGACTGTATCTACCTTTCCACAGCCACAGAAACTTCAGAAAATCTGCACTTTATATTACTTAAAAGTGTTAGCATGCAATTAATTTCCTCCATTTCTCCAAAGGAAGAAAGAGGTGGTAAGTTGGGCATGAGTTATTTTATTGTAAATGTAGCACAGCACAGATTAAACAGGTGGATTAATTTTCAGAGAGTTAAGATTGAATTCTGGTTATGTTAGAGATGGAAAAAAACCCGGGTTGTTTCTTCAGTTGAAAACTGTCAGTATTACAAATACATGACCATCCTTTACAGCACTTTGGCACAAAGGTGTCAGCATGAAAGAGTTCAAGATATGTTCATAAAAGTCCCCAAATCAAGTGCTGTTCGTAAAACTATCTGAAGAAAAACTGATTTTCCACATCACATCAATTTATATTTTGTTTCCGCTAATGGTCATCTCACTTATAAAAAAAATGTAGTACTAATTTTTAAGTTAAGAGAATTGATGTAGGTAGTAGTTGTTAAACTCGTCCCACAATGACAGTAATATTTATCATTTTAGATTTGGAGAATATTTTCTTTTTTATGCTAAACTTAATTTTCCAATGAATCAAAAATACACACGACTATTGAAACTACTGAAATAGCCTAGTTGTTATGTGGAGGAAATCCTACATAAGGAAAAACCCGTGAGGATATTTTCGAAACCACAAGAAGCCACACGTGTTAAAGGTTAAGAACTTGCAAATTCTTCAGAACAAACATTTTTCATGAGTAGAGCTTCTGTTGGATAAGCAACATAGTGAGATGCTGCCAGACTTCTAAGATCAGAGGAAAGAATCATATTATGAAATTCCCAGAAAACTCAGTCACTTTTTCCACCAACCTTTACAAAGTATCGTTAACAACACCTATGTTTCAGGGGCAAGAGGTTTTGGTTTTCTTTCTGTTCCAGTTGAAGATGCTGTAATGTAGATCAGAACAGCAAGTCTCAAGAGCCTCATCGCAATTTTTGGGACCCTTTTGATAAATTCTGCCACGTTTCCAGGGGAAAAAAAAAAACAACCAACAAGATAAACTCTGAATTTTTATGCTTGTGTAATAGTTTCGTTTGGAGGAAATTAAAATTTATACATTCGTGACACTAGATGCTATCTAGTATTCTCAGTTTACTACTGATGGAGGAAAGTTTGCAGAAATTCTCTCATCTCAGACTAAACCAGCAGCCTATCATGCATCATACAAAAAACAAGATCCCCAAAGATGTCTGCATTTTTGTGCATGCATGAGTTTCATCACTATCTATATAATCTGTCCATATCTAATGAACAAAAATTCAAATTGACTAAAATATGGTTTTGAAGACAATACGCTAGCCAGAGTTTGAGGAAGAAAATGGTCCTTCTTTTTCCCCAGCTATGGCCTTAAAACTACAGGATCGCCTCTCCTTCTGCTCTCCCAACCCACTTTGCCATCTCTAGGCCTTCAGCAGGTAGGGCTCAAAAAATTCTCAGAAAGAAAAAGGAAGGTTGGGCAAGAAAAAGCTGATGAAAATTCTTGCAACAGCTTTCAGGAGTTCTTTGTCTGCATTATATTATGGTGATTGCCTGTCTGCTTAGCCAAGAACCCATTTATTCCAGGTTTGCCCCACAGATTTTGGCCAAGCATACCACCAATGTAATACTACCAAACAATTTATATAAACACCCCTTAATATTAACATCTTCCAGATGAGAAACCTACCCTACTTGCATTCCCAGTGTCAAAAGCCATCTAGCATGCCCAAAGTCTGACAAATCTTACAATACATTTTAAATGCAAACACGCTACTGTGAAACAGAGAGATGAAATGCCGCAGTCCTCAGCACAGACTTCAGCTTGACTGGCAGTGCTCATCAAGCTGACATGAGGCATGGAAACCCTCTCTCCAAATAAACCAACATTGCTATGGAGCTCTAAGGAGATGTCACTCCAGTCCTACCAAATGTGTTGCAGTTCTGATTATTACTAAGTTGTGTGCATAGGAACAAGCTTATCAATGCTAAGATGCCAGTATTTCTTTCAGAAAAATGAGAGTCTAGTTTTCAATGAGTTTGCTTGTAAAAGAAAGTTAAAAAAAAATCACGACAAGCTTTCTTTCTACAGTTTCTACAGCACAGTTCACAATTCACTGCCCAGCCCTTCCTCAAGAGAAAGATAATCACATGGGTGTAAAAGTCTAAGATTAGGCATAGATAGGTCTATGCCTAAATAAAATCAGGCATAGGAGGCTGGAAAAAGGGTATTACTGCAGGGGCTGGGTGGAGAGAATTATCTGGTTCCTCTTGGAGGTGTTCTCCATTTGCCAGTTGCCACACACAGAGCTAACCAAGAATGGGATCCACAAGCTACGCAGAAATATAATTAGAGGTGTCCAATTATTCAGTCAACGTATTGATCTATTTCAGTGATGAGTGCAAAGGAAGAGAGTTTCATCAAATCCTTTTCTGTACTGCTTTTCATCTCTACTTTTGACCACAGAAAGAAAGGTGGGCCCAGAGGATTCAATTAAAACAGGCAACGATTTTTCCTGTTGTCGACATGAGAGGTAATGGAGGTAAATCTATTGCACATGACTTAAGAGCTTGTGAATCAATGGCGAGCCCATTTAGCTTGGCAGGAAGCACAAGCCTTGCACTGGAGGAGAGGCTGTAGACAGATTACAGCTCTCAAGAGCACTGAAGACTCATCTGTACACCTCGATAGCCAAAGGGGGGAAAAATTAACAGGGCAGCTTGTGATGTGTTCCTCATTTCCTAGGTACCACATTACACTTCTTGACACCAATTCAGGTCACTGGTCAGAAAACTGCAGGCTCCCCGAGCCATCCTTAATTGGCTCCCTGCAGAGATCATGCCCCGTATGTGACAAACAGGATGAATGTTAAACTCTGCTATTTAAATTCAGCATTGCTACATAGAGTGCAAGCCATGCTTGGCCAAAAGCCTGGCCTACCTTATGAACAGCACTGCCCTGGAAGCTCTCAGCTCTGCTAACAAGCAGATGGGGCAATTCTAGAGCAAGACTTCTGCTAGCACAGAATATACCCTTGGAAATTTGCGTAGAACGAATCCTCGTCCAGCTATGCTGAGCAATTTAAAACCTCATATGTGCTTTCAGGCAGCACTAGATAGAGGGGACAGTAAAAGTCTGTCTCTCTGTAGGCTCTAAGACAAGCTTTTACATATTTCAGGGCATAGGCCTTTGCGGCGGGGTTTTATTTATGCTGAATCAGCATGAGTCTTAGCAACAGGGATAACAGGTTGATGATTACCCTGCTGCAGATATTTACTTGGTTGAAGTGCCAGTCTTCTGGGCATGCAGTCAAATTGGTACCTATCAGAAACGAGGCATGGCCAGAAGCCATGTCTAGTTTAACACTGATCTTACCCACCATCATTTATTCCAACAAATTTGACATCTTGATTTTTTTTTTTAAGATTTCTTAATATTTTAGCAAACCTATGCATTGTGTGATGCTGAGTTTCCCAGCTAAGTTTTAAATTTGTTCAGTGCCCATTCAGAACAGGGACTTGCAACATCCATCACTGGAACACTGTGGGGGATTGCTTGGACAGTTTTCTATTTCCAAATTTTTGCAGGGAGGGACTGTCCTGAAACTGTCCCTCCATGTCAGGAACTATCCTGAAAGAAAGGAATTTAACTTCCATGGAAAGAAGCTTAGGTGATCTAATACCAAAGGGTAAAATAACACACAACAGCCAAATAGATCATCTCAAACACAGCTATCTTTAGCAGCTGCATTCTACTGCAACAGTCATGCAATGTAAGCGCTACCATATAACGTCAGGATTTCATACTATGTAAGAAACTTCACAAAAAATGGCACGTTTGTATGAAAGTATTGCCTCTATCTGGAGACCACTGCGCTGTGGCTAGAGCAATGACTTGCACTCTAAATGTGAATGTTTGCGATTTATACAATATCCTATTTCCTCTCTTACGTGCTAAAAGCAGTTGCAAAACACATTATCAAGAACTCATTACTACTGAGTTCCCGGAAAAAGTAATCTAACGAATCCCCAAAGATACAGCCTCTATTACATATAATGGATGCACTTAAGTCGTTCTTGAAAAAGACCAGCAAGCTCAAACAACAGCCTCAGACTGCCAGGTAACATTTCTCCCTGCAAAACTTATCAGTCTGACCTCAGAGGAAGAAAGTTTTACAATTTTGGAGACAAAGGAAGGTGCTCTTTTTTAAATCTATACAGCTAAAATTAGGCAGAGGTTGGTCAGGGATGAGAAAACCTATTGTGAAGGTCTATTTTGACACACAAACACCAACGCTATGTAAGTCTAATGCCGCAATTTATTAAGCTGCTTATCACTCTCACACGCACTATATCCAATATATACACAATAAATCACCTGAAGCAGAACAGCTGCTCGTAGCTGCTGACCTTGCAGTAGATAGATTCAAAATTATTATCACCACCTTCAACTGATTCATACTGATCCTGTTTAATGGAAACGATGAACTCTTGAAGATAACATTGTATTACACTGATGTCAGTAAGATATCAAACGTGCTTTTCCTATGCCTTCTGACATAAACTATAATGCTATCATTCTACATAACGTGCAAAAAAAGGAAATTTCGGATAACACAGATATTCTTGGTTGCAAGTACAAGTCAGCACTTCAGAAAATCAGGCCAAAGGACAGCGTGTATTAGTTTATTGCATATTTGCACAGTGTAAGCCAAGCTACAAGCACATAACAAGTGCAGGGAAAGAAGAAAAGTTGGTTGTTGTTTTGTCAAAGAAAATGGTCAATAGCAGAAAAGTAGCACAAAGGAAATACCTTAAGATCTCGCCTTTCCAGATGTAAAAGCTCAGAGCCTCGGATGTCATGGCTGATGAAGATTTCTTTGTACTCTCCCAAACTGAGCAGATCCAGCCAAGCAGCAACTTCATCTGTGCCCCATTTTTGAACTACCAAAGTTAAGAGCAAAACCCCCTTAATTTCTACATGCTCAAATGCATCACAAGCAAAGGTTAGGCCAAAGAGAGTGGAAAACAGAGTAGAATTGCCGTGCTAGCAAGGGGAAAGGTTAGAGGTGTCATTTCCACAAAAACTGACAATTTCCTTTTTACATGCAGGTTACAGGTTAGCAGTTAACATGAGAAAGTATCTAAACAAAGTTGGGGTTCTTTGCTTTGCAGCCATGCTTTCAGCTTTACTCCACTTTCTTCAGTAAAGCCTTTAAAACCTCATGTCCCAACAAATTCACATTACACCATCTTAGGATCAGTGACGCAAAGTCTGATGTTGTTCTGCTTTATACCATTAATTTATTAGTAGTCATCCAGGGAGAGGAGAAGCCTTCAAAAACTAATTAACATGTAAAATTAAAATATCAACCATACCTCAAATATAGCAATGGCAGCAAGCAAGTCCAGTTTTAATTAACATTTTCTAGTGTTCTTAATTAATGCAACAAATATTCTTTAAGCTACTGTGTTACACAGCCCATTAATAAGCTCTCTGTAAAACATTGTTCTCTAAGGTTAGTTGCCCACATTAGTTCTAATAAGACCACATTTATTGAAAAAAAGATAGTTATGCTACTTATTGCTATAATTTTGCAACTTCATTCAATGCTGATTAGTTTTACAATGAAGTGAAAACTGAAGTCTAATCTGAAATCTAAAGTCTGATCAACACCTGCAAGATTTTGACCAACTGTCCATTAAAAAGACAAAGATGTAGAAACAGTTTTAGGACCATCTGATCACTGATTAACTCCTGGACATAATCTTAAGGAAGTAAGTTCATAGGTAAGAGTGGGAAGAGAGGAGAGTGGAGTTTGTTCAACTTCTAATTAAGAAATCAGTATTGACTATCATGGCTTTTTATTTGATTTGTCTCAGTTGCTGAACTTAAAACCCATCTGAAATTTAAGAATAACTGGTTAATAAAACCAGTGTGATAAAAGCTATTGCGCACCTTCTGAAACTAACCTGAAAAACCTGAATTGGAGCTTCACAGGGAAACGATGTGCTTACAACTTGTATTGCTATGAGTTAATCAAATGTAACCACAGCAAAGACACAGGTCCTGTCACATGATAAAACTATCTAAATATTTTCACAGTAGTTCTTTGGTTCACTTGGAAGTCTTGGGGTCCTACTGAATGCTTTCTAAATGCATTGAAAGAAATCTTCATCCTAATGAAGATGCCAGTTAGCTCAGTTGCTTTTCGCTTTGACTCTACTTTTAGGTAGAGTGCATCATTTCAGCTCTTACCAAAAAACCCATAAAATCACATTGTCCCCAAATGCTACTATTTTTCTTGTAATGTCAAAACACATACCAGGCTGAGGGCTGGTCTTATGCTTCTGAACTTTTTCTTTTTTAAACTTTGGCACTATGCGAAACACTGTACTTCTGTTGTTTCTTTTAGCATAATCCAGAGGGGGGTCCTGCATGAAAGAAGAGACATAGTTACCTTTAATTAACAGAAAACAACAGTGAAATTACATGCTTGAGACGGTAATTCATAGTTAACCTCAAAAACTAAGACCAGATTTTACTTCCATAAAGAATAATTTCAGGATTTAACTCTATACTTGTTTCATTTATTAAATAACCATTCAAAACCTTTAAATTCACAAAAGGGAACAAAAGGGAACAAAAAGCAACAAGCTTAGAAGCTTGTTCACAGCAGACAGAAATGATCCACCATCACTACTGAAATTGCCTCTCCAGATTCTAACTTACTCTTCCCTATCAAAAGAAATTAGAAACAAGAAGTATTAACCAAACTCACCTCATCATCATTTGGTTGAAAAACGTAATAAAGCCATGGTATCTCAGCAAGTTTTCTCAACTCTATTTCCACGCTGTGCAAAGCATCAGACAGCAGCTCTTCATGGGGAGCTTCTAACTGCTGTTTATAAACAGGCCAGAAAAATAGTATTTTTAGTTTTGTTAACATACAGCATTTAAATCTAGATACGTTGTTACCACACACAAACAGATGACTGCTTCATGGTGAGTGTAAACAAACAGTGAAAACAAATAAACTTACCAAATTAAATTTTCCTTCAGAGATGTGTCAGACCACTCTGACACTACACTTAGTATGGTCCCAACCACAAAGAGATGACTGAGGCAGCTGAGACTTTCGGTGCAGACCAGCTGGACCTAGCTGTCAGTCACTGTCATCATTCACTGCACTCCTGAGTCTTCACAGAGCAAAAGTTATCTGATAACACCAATACTAGAACACACTAGAAGTGGAAACTACTAGCACAAGGGAGATAAAACCTGACCAGAAGAACAAGAGCCTGGAAAATTTTTGTATGAAAAGTGGTGTAAAAGAATTGAATAGATGGTAGTAAGCCTGAGTTATTATTTGTAATTGTCTTCATATGATAGATCACTCTCTCATGGTCAAGTAAGAGGAAATGGATCTTACCGAAGATGCTCCATTCCCAAAGGTCTTCCAGTGGTGATACAATACCTGCACTACCCCTTCTAAACCGGTGAGACATGGAGCGATAGCCACTGCTGCTGGCTGGGGGTGGGAGGAACGGGGACCAGGCATGGAAGAGGGACACGACTGCAGCCACAGGCGGGAGACAAAAAGCCAAAGACATCAGCGAAGGCCAAAGAGGAAAAGAAAGTGGCAGCAGTGTAAAAAGCTTAGGACTTGCTGACCTACGGGAATTTGGCTCCATCAACACTTTGAGAACCCCATGGAGGTACCAGTTTTCCTTAAAACCCTGGTCTGAAAACTATTCTGCAGCTGTTTTGTGAGTCAAACCTGTGAGGAAGAGGTAAGGCAGGCCACTGATCCCTGGCAAAGCTGTTTTGGCCTTATCGGGGGTTGCTGAAACACCATTTTGAGGTAAAGAGTTGAATCCTGGAACGAGTTGCTTGGAATCACTAATAAAGCAATCTGAACATCTATTTCTCTCTTTGAAGTAAAAGTAGTCCCAAAGCAGTGCAGAATATCCTTTTGAAAGGATCTAATTAAGTTGTATCCTAGTGAATGCATTTTTAAAATGGAGTTGTAAGAAAATCTTTGATCTCTAGTGCTGGAAAAAGATTTTGATGTTGTTGGAGTTTGGTGATAAATTACAAGCCCCCTTTAATTTATCCTACCTAACAAAAACTTCTTTCCTTTGCTTCAATAGTTTGCATATGTTACCACTTTTCAAAGGAGAGACATCTTTAGTAAGATATTGCTGTTTAGCATAGTAATACTGTAAATATAAGCTCCCTCTTGCTATCGTGTTCTTTTCTCTTCTAAAGCTCACAGAATTCAGTGCCCATAAGGAGACTCTGAGCTTTATTTGCCTTCCCTTTTTTTTCAGTTTGAACAGTTCAATTAATTTGGAGCACAGTGGAAGACCCACCTGTCTTTGAAGAAGTTAGAACTTTTCTCTCGTTTTCATTTTTTAAAATTATTTATCTATTTTATATAAATGAATGAAGCAGAGAGTTATCTCTTTCTCAACAAGCACTTATCTAAGTCTTATGAACAAGTCTTATGAGGAGCGGCTGAGGGAGCTGGGACTGTTCAGCCTGGAGAAGAGGAGGCTGAGGGGAGACCTCATCGCTGGCTGAGGGGCCTCATCGCTCTCTACAACTACCTGAAAGGAGGTTGGTGGGTGTTGGTCTTTTCTCCGAAGTAACAAGTGATAGGACGAGAGGAAAGAGGAATTTTATATAAATGAATGAAGCAGAGAGTTATCTCTTTCTCAACAAGCACTTATCTAATTGCTTGATTCTCAAAGGAAAACATTGTGCTTGAGGACAAAAAAACTCTCATCTGATGGTGAGAAAGTGTATGCATTGGCAATATTGCTTCTGAAATAAACCCAAAACAATAGTGAAATTCTGGTAAAGGAAGAGTCAGCAATTTAGGGTAAATTCTCCTCCTACAACATCTTGGAGAAGCTTCTTATTTCCAAGATGGAAATTAACACTATGAATGAAACAATGAAAATAAATTATTTTTTCAATTCCTTCCCAAAGGAAATTTTTAATATGAAAATATTTGATTTCAGTGGGCTCAGATAATTTCATTCAGTTGAAATGAAACATTCTGTCATACTTCTCCCTTAATACATTGGAAAACTGTAGTATATGCAACAAAGCCATCAATTTACTGCTATCAGGAGCTTTGATCACAAAAGAGAGGCGTGAGAGAGAACTGAAGAGGCAAAGAAAAAAAAAAGAGGAGGAAGATATAGAAAGAAGGTCCATCTTTGTCAGAGAAAGATAATTTGGAGAACAGTGTATGATGGCAGCAGCTGATGCATCAAGCAACACCTTACATTTCATCTGTCTCTATTTTAATAGAGTGAGGGGCCAACATACATGTAGCTTCAGCATTTATAAAATACATGGCAATAAGGTTAACCAGGGTGCCTTGTTGTTGTGAGTGTGAAATACTGTTCTAAACAAGCATGATGTCAAATGAGTGTAATGGACACCTCTGGAAGATTATCTCAGTATCTTTCAAACAGCCTTTTTATTAAAAAATGGGTTTGATGTAGACTCAGTAAGACATTTGCACAGACCATAATGAGAAGCAGAAGTACAACATGTAAAAATCAGAAATGGACAAATGAATCAAATTAAGCTTTGGAGCCTGAACAAGGGACCAGTTCGACAACACAATGAGATCACAACTGGCTACAGAAAAGGTAATGTTTCCATGGGAAGGTTTCCATAATAACATTATTTCCAGACTGCCTTGATAAATTACACTAGTCCTAGTATGGCATTACCAACTTAAATCTTTTCTTCTAATTCCTCTTCCTAAACTATTTTAAAATTTAAACAAATTTCTCTGTTTTGATTCCCCATTCAATCTGAAATATGGGGGATTAGTAATAGCAATTTGAAAAAAACCAGCAGATATTTTTCCCTTTTCTTGGACAAAAACATCTAATGAATAACTTTCCCTTCTAAAAACTCATAAAATAGATCATATGAGTCTGATCTTTGACTATTTCTAGAACTTATATGGTTATTAGCCTTTAGACCATATTAACTTTTTGTTACTGTAGAATAGACCCGTACCATTTATCACTTGTGTAAAAAGGTACCTGAACCTGCACCAGTAAGTTTCATACGATAACTCAGCTAAATGAAAACATTCCTATTTATATCCATTTTTAATTATAAGACTTAAATAAACAGTAAGTTAGTAATAAATCTGCTTTTGAATCCAAAGAAAATGTAACTGTTCCTACTGAGTATCTTCTTAATATAAAAGTGGACCAGCAGAGAAAACCTGACATCTTTGTTCTCTTCACAATGTCACATGTAGAAATTTTCTAATTATACATCAAGGTACAACAATTCTTGAGCAGTCTTCATCATTTTAGGCACAGAAACACTAGCCAAAGAAAAAGATGCAAAGTCTTCAGTACCATCAGAGGTCTACTGAACACTTATCAGTTAGAGGTTATAAAATAATTCCTGACAGGCGTTAGAACAAGGGTGAGATTTACTTGCCCAGATTAGATCTGTAGAAGTTGAATGTATGAGTCTGAACAGCTCTCACCCCAGGTTCTCTTTAAACTCTGAAGATGGTCACATAATAGAACTCCGGAAGTTCTCTTAAATGCTAAACCTCCAGAAGATGATTTATCTTTTTCTAAGATAGGCCTCCAAGACAGTTGAGTGTGTACCAGCCTCAACAGGGATACTTATTTCTCTCCATTGACTACTAAAAAGAAGAGCCCAGGCAATGACCTTTTAGATATCTGAAGTGAGGTAAAATGGATGCCAATCTAGGACAAGAATTCATAACTCATTCTGATCCAAACCACAAATGCAGTGTAATATCCTCCAATTGGCCTTACAGAGCTTCTTGTAGCAGGTCATAAATCCTGTGTCAATTTAAAAAATCAGCAAAGAACAAATCACAGATAATCTGAATGAGGGAATAAAACCATGTATTTTGTCACCTTACCAAAGGAACTCTTCCTACTAGCAGAGATTCAGTTTCATTATGCAGGGCCTTCACATTGACAGCTATCTCCATGGCAGTGTTTCTGGTGAGGCTCTGGGGAATAAGAAGCATAAAAATTATTTGAAGTGATGCAAGTCAAACTGCAAATAAGTACTTTGGGCTTAGAGCAGAGATCTTAAGCATCTTCTCCTAGGAGAAATACATCAATTCAGCTCTACACTGACAACTTCTTCAGCACTGAGAATAGAAAACAAAAATGTAGTATCTATTTACTGTCTTTTCCCCAACTTCATTTAATATGACCTTATACAATCCTGAAGATCATCAAGTGACCAGCCACCTGTGAGATGAATCTACGATTTTTATGGATGACAAAGGCCAGCAGAAAAGTTGTGGGCCTCATTTATTAACAACTGTTGATCCGAACTGTTCACCTTATCCTTAGAAGAAGTAAGCCACTAGCTGTATTTTAAGAAGCAAAGGTTAACTAATATATTTACCATATGTAAATTTAGGTTAGATATAGGCAGCCTCTACCTAATTAATCTTTTTGGGGTCCAGTCCTTGAAAACACCCAGATTGTCTAAGTGTGAAGAGAGAAACCAGGAAACTCATTTCCCCTCACCCCCTTTACATTCTCTGCATAGCACTTGGATAACAATTAAGCATGAAAAGGTCTAAGAACGCATCCACAAGAATTGACCTGTACGTAGTAACAGCATTTGTTCAGCCTTTGTCATGCCTCCACTCTGCGTCTGGGAACATGCCTACACAGTTGTCTGCAAGCAGATGTGAGCTTACTTGGCCTATTGTTTTTGCTGTTTGCTGACACGAGTTTGATTTATTCATGCTCAGAGCTACATTAGTACACCGCCTCACTTGATTTAATAAGCACTGCTGCATCACTTCAGGATGAGCACCCCTGGCTGTGGACCTCCGTTGCAGATGAAGCGAATTCTTGGCTGCTTCCGAAAGGCAACAGACATACCCTTACCGTGCCCCTAATCCAAACTCCCTATCTCCCTTTTGACTGCTCACTCCCCCCTGCAACACCACCCAGAGGGTCTGCATTTTAAGTGTCATTAATGTCCCTTTCTAATGTCCCATGTTCACAAAAGAGAGTAGCAGGTGGGGAGGACACTGATAAATGCAGAAACTGCATCTTCTGCCTTCTCAGATATCGTATTGATCTAACATCAGGAGGGGACTCTCCTCTTTAATACTCTTCTGTAAGAAGGCAGTTCTCCTAACTCCCATTCCTGGTATTATTAATAAATTTCAGAAACATTGAGCATGATCTCTACCGAATTCATCAGCTGTGGGGTATTTCCCTATGCACGTGAAGGGTTGAGACCCCCTGCTGCTATACAGAGCAGCACCTTCAGAACCTGAAGTAACTTTCCCTTTACTTTCACCTTAGAAAAAGTGGCAAAAAAGGGGAGAAGATACAGCATCCATTCATCTGTTAAGCAATTTCATTTAAATCTGAGCATGTGTATGTATATTTAGAAGTCTTGTTTATCAAAAACTTCAAGAATTATCATCCAACTTGTTTTAATATGGGGACAAGGAGTACAATACAGCTCCCATGTCAGAAGCTTAAGCATACAGATATTATAGCTTATTTACTTATACATAGATTTCTGTTCTTCCTTTACCTCAGGAAACCTTGGGTTGGCTTTATTTAATGCATGTGAACATGCATTAACGGCATGAGCAAGCTCCTGCTCCAAGAGGCCATGTATTTTTGCTGCTTCACAGATCCTACAAAAATATAAAGAGAGAGAAAAATATTTCTTACCTCCTTTAAAGACTAATTCTTCCGAGTACACAACATTATCAGATGACAAAATATATAAAGATATGTTTCACAAAACACTTTTAAAAAAATATAGTCCTTTATAACAGAAGTTGAAATACAAGTATCTCTTCAAGCAATACAGCGCCTCATATAAATCATATCCATAACACAGAAGATTTATTCTGCTATGAAATACCGAGACACATTTATTTGTCTTAGAACACAAATGGTATGCAAAAATTGTACCAAAAAATGTTGGGGCTATTAATTCAAATAAACTATAGAGGAAAACCCTAGCACATTAAGATAACTTACTTGAAGTTATCTTAAAAGCCATTACACCTATTTCACAAGGCATATCCTTCAGACGTGACATTAAAATTGACTGCAGTCATTTGAGATTATGGGAGGTCTAGCTGTAATTATAACCTCAGGACCATCTCTAGAACAGTAAAGTTTTTAAGCTGTCTTGGCTAAACTTCACTTTGGATAATTTATAACCTAAATTATTCTTCTATGTCTACTTAAGTCACAAGTACAGTATAAAAAGAATATGTCATTCTTCAGTTCCTTTCTTATGTTATCAGTGCAACTCAACAGATACTCCAAGAATTGATTTTGATGCTTAAGATAATTTGTTATCATGATGAACTGAATAGCAGCTTTATAAAATGTTCTGATTTAAAAAAAATGCTTTTCTTAAAAAAATCTAGGCTTTTTTTTCTGTGAAAATTGAAGTGCCTTTTTTATTAAAGTACTTGCATCTCAGGAAGTAAGTACTTCTTGAAAATAAGCAAGGCTGTGGGATCAATTTTATACCATCAGCCCACTATCATCTCAACTCAAGTAAATTACTGAAGTGTCCAGGGGCACAGAGATGAGGATTTTGAGCATTAGGAATGAAATAGAAAGCTGCAATAACAATGAATGAGTGGGTGAATGCAAAAAGGCATGAAGATTTTATCCGGCAATTTGGGCTCCTTGAATGTTGCTGTGTTAACTGTTTACTTGTACAATATTTTAAGAAAACTTTCCATTCTATTGAAAAGTGCTCATCTTTTTGAAATTGTGAGTAACAAGGCTTTAAAGAGAAATAAGGTCAGGAGAAGTTAAGGTCAGGTGGATACATCCGCACTGCTGACTTCTAAAGTTGACTTCTAAGGGTTTTTTTTCAATAAAAATATATTTGCTCTTGCATAAAATGAGAATTTTTAATCAAAAGCCTCTCTGCAAAGAAGCTTTCCAATTTTCCATTTCCACTGCTCCTTCAGAAAGTCAGTTTTCACAAGAAAAAAAATACATAAACACACAAAAATAAAATTACAGAAATACATAAGAAAAGCATAAATAAACAAGTTGAGCCTTAAAAATAAAGTAAAAAAAAAACAACAAAACAATGAAACTGATAGAGTGGCAACTAAACATTAATCAAAAAACAGGGAAAATATACACTTCTAAGTCTATGTATGCATTTGCATGAATAATTCAGTCTCGGTGTCTAGGTTGCCAATCCAAACTTATTAATTTTACTGTACCTGGTAATAAGTTCTTCTGCAGCTTGTGAGCACAGCTGGATCTGTGCGACTTCTTCTTCTGTAGCCAACTCAACAGCCTGCTGAGGGTACAAGGGAGATCGAATGACAGGCTTACAGGAATCATACTTCTGTTTGTCTTCCCAAGACTTCAGGGTGTTTTCAAAGGCCTAATCAAAATGAATTATACATTCAGTTCACAGCATTTGGAGTATTCTTATTTATTTTAAAATTTAATTTTATATAAATTTTAAGTTCTATAATATTTTCATTAAAATTAATTTAACAAATTAATTTAATTTTAATTTTATATAAATAATACAAGCTCTATAAATAATGACATTAAATTTAACTTTTTTAAAACATAGTGAAGAAAATAAGTCACTTCTGAAAGCTTGCTTTCTCTCTCTCCCTCCTTTATCCTCAATAAGCATCTTTCAAACTAAGAACACAAAGACAGTGATAATACAAGCATGGATAGTAAGATCCAAATCTGAAAGTAATATAAGATTCAAACCTAAAAAATGGTGGGAAAAAGTAACAAATTTACTAAAATGTAGTTCAAATGCCATTAACCGCACCCTAAATTCACCATCCAGTTAGTGGACGGAGAACTGAGGGGCAGATACGCCTTTCACACAGTAATCCTAGACAAGCGTGAACTCTCCAGTGGCTTTGTGACTAGGTTCTGCACGTGCCTCTTCTGTCTGAGACCGGGTGGTGGGGGAGAGGGAGGATTAGTAGAACAGAGAGAGACAGGAGAGAAATCTGCAGAAAGTTATTCTGAAAAATGGACTTTATAGAACTTTGGTATTTATGCAACTGTGCCAGAACCTCCAGTATGTGATTGTGTATTATACACCTAGAGAAGAAGAAGAAGAAGAAGAAGAAGAAGAAGAAGAAGGAGAAGACGATGGGGGGGAGAAAAGAAAGAAAGAAACAAAAATATATAAAATTTTGACCATTCTTCTTCTTACTATATATTAATAAGAATACAGGAATAGCACTAGTAACACTGATAAAAGCTGACAAAGAGCTGTGTGACTTATACAAAAGAACAATTCTCTATCTATCTGGCTTATAGAAATTATGCAACTCTAAGTAATCATGTAAGTTATATAGATAGTTATAAAACATTTTTATAAGCACTGTTTTGTTCACGTTATAACTGAATCAAATTGTTACAGAAACAATGTTAGTAACAGTATTTCATAACATACTCTGTCTCGTGTTAACATCTGAGCTCTGTTTTTATGTATGATCTTAATCACTCCCGGGGGCTGGATCCATGCCTCTCCATCGACTTGCACTGGAACCCCTTCATCACCAAGTATGGTGATCTTTACTGACCGACACTGGAAAAGAACAAACACGTTATTTTACAGAGCAATAAATACTAATGAAACTGACGGGCCACCTGAAACATGTTGATTACTAGGAGCTGCGGCTTCCCTCCAGGTTTGTCTCAAGGATGAAGCACTTTTACACCTCATTTATCATTGAACACAATTTGTTACCCGTTAAAATTAAAACAATGTCAGCACTTTATTAATGTATAGGGTGGTGGTCATCAAGAGTACCGCTACTTGCCATCATCCCAAACTGCTGCCAACCATGTTGCATGCTTTCAAGTAAGAAACAAACCTGAGCTATCCTGTGGTGCTGCAGTTTGATGACTCTTGAAACTGCCATCTGCATGCTGCCAAATACCGCAACAACTTCTAAGATTTTATCATCAAATGATGGAGCCCCAAATATCTGAAAGGAAAAGAAAATATTCCATTTTTGATGGTAAATCTAGTGCTTAGATTGCATTTTTAATGAAACAGATTAATTTACAGATTTGTTTTCAACATTTAAATGCTCTAACTTACTTACTGTAGAATAACTACACTGTGTCTCAAAAGTCATAGGAGTGAGATACCGTAGACAGTAGGCAAATATTATTTTAAAACAGCAATGCTAGTAGCATTTCAAATATCTGAACAACAAGGCATATCCTTATATAGGAAGGATGGCAAGTTTCAGCGTGCCGACTAAGAAATGTTTTTCAAGGCAAGATGAAAGGCCAATTCAAATCTCTGCTTGGTTAATGTACTTAATATCTAAGAGGTTCTTGAAGTTAAGAGGAATAATGGTGGTTTTCTTCTCAGAAGAGCATATCTTTTTATATTCTGAATTCTCTGGAACCAACATCCGAGTCCGTGCTTGGCTTTGTTAAACAGAGCTTTCATACTGAAGAGGATCTTGCGTGCGCTGTATACAATTATCCGCTGTAAATATGAAAACCGCTTCTGTATGGAACAAACGTCCTGATATCCAGCCAAGACACTGAATTTCCATAAGCTTACACAAAGCGCACGAAGTCTCGTGTGTGCCATTGCCACCTGGTGTCCTGCAGGGAGATTCAGCCATGCCACACAGCAAGTCTTAGGCTGGAGTTCAGCTGGGTCTGGCAGGAGATACCATACTAAGGTCACTTTGAAGCTTGACCATTTCATCCTGATATGCAATAGGGAGCAATGAGGGAGAAAAACCAGCAGGAGAAATCACTCCAGTAAGAGTTTAACGGGTAGAGAGATCACCTCTCTGAGTGGTACTCAGACTACCTCATTTGGCACCATGGGCAGAGTAAGCTGCATCAGAGGCACCTGAGAGAGGATTTCCTGGAGGTGAAGAATAAGAGGGTGCAGATCCAGGACCGCGTAATCCAGATAGTGTCTGCAGCAATGGCTCAGGGAGGGAGAGAATGGGGAACAGGGTGAGGGACTTTGGTCCCCGCTGCCCACCAAGCCAGTAGGAGCCTTGACCCCAGTGCAGTGAGCGGTGGCTTTGGCCAGGAGGCTGAGGAGGGCTTCTCAGGGAAAGGGCTGCACAGCACAGTTGCCACAGTTTAGTGCCACATCCAGGTGGCACTTCCCTTCAGAGCATCGCAGCATTGCACAGATATGTCTTGAGCAGATGAGTGTCAAAGAACAAAAGTGCAATTTTACTGGGTCTAGACTGTTTTGAAGCAAAAGGTTTCTCCATTTTTCCAATTTCCATGGAAATTTTTCCATTTTTCACATGGGGATGTGAACGTCTTGAAAAGAGCAAAGACAGTGATTTTGTTATTCCAAGGTAAAAAGTATGGAGAGTCTGTGATCCAGCTTTAACAAGTATAACTGACATCTACAGGGCCAGTTCTGCATGGGTTAAGAAAAAGTAGTTGTAAAATTTCATTTATTTTGTGCTTCGATTTTAGCAAAAGGATAGGCAAACCACAACCCAGTCTGCTGTGTCTCTCCGCCAGTAAAACATGCCTGTACTGAAAACCAACCATACTTTTTTTTTTTTAATAAAGGCAAACAAATCTCTACGGACCAACGTTCAAGAAACAATTCCCTCCTTCCCTGTTGCAGGTCACGTTTCCAGCCTGTCTTCTGGACACCAAAAAAGCATGCCTAAACAAGCCCCGCTCAAGTCAGTAGGCGTGCAGCTGCCCTGCTTGGCTCACTGATAATGTTTCAGGAATATTTGCAGCTGTCAAGGGAACACCTTTTTTGTGTCCAGGTAAGCAGAACCAGCAGCACTTCAGACCACCACCACCACCTCTGATGATCAGTCACTCAAGACTGCACTAAAGCAGTGAATTACGCTCCTAACTGTCCACAACAAACATGTCACTTTGCTGGCCCATCTGATCACCAGAAGACTAAGAATATCAGTAAAACCGCTCTGAGACACACACACACATTTGCTGTATACTGGTATGACAGCTAGGACAGATCTTCTCTCCCAGTGAGGTAGTCCAGGGAGAAAAATAAACTCCTGAACAGGAGCTGAGCAGACACTAGAGATGCTTTCAAGTGATGAATATGAACATGGAGTATATAAAAACTTTAGATATCCATAGCCAAATATAAGCAGAACTGCCATCCTCTGACATATACCAAAAATAAGAACAGGACATTGAAACATGTTTAAATATTTTTTGTGACTTTTATATATGTGTGTGTGTGTGTATGTATATAAGCAAAGGATAATAACTCACAAGAAACCAAAAGCATTTTGGAAAAAAAGGTCCTGGATTGTCTACATTAAAATCACAAGCTAATTTGCAACTACAGTTTTAGGTGATTCAGACCTCACACACACTAAATCAGGACATGCAGAATTAGCATAATCTGCTAGTAATTACAATTGTTGCACTGTGCGTGAAGTGGATGGCAGCAGTAAGACTGCTCCAAGTTGTAGGACATTTAAGTATCTGAGTAGTGTAACGTTTCTTAGGAGATGTGAGGAAGAAGAGAAAAAAGATATCTTAAAATATTTTAGAAGCTCATTGAAAATAATATTTAAAAAACAGATTACTACCCCCACTATATTATCAGTCACTAAATGCATCAGTCCTCGTTTTCTGAATCACCATCCCTTAGTCCAAAGCTGTTTGAAGAACAGGTGGAAAATTCAGGTATAAACTGTTGAGTGATTATCCTTGTCCACCTTGTTTATTGTTAGAATATAGCAAACAGAGGAATCTATGCTTTGAGAAACCTTATTTACAGGAGTTTGTAAAACAATATAGAGAGAAACTATTTGTGTCTCTGCTTATAAAATTAGTTTCTAAAAATACTGTCTCACAGAGCCATTGTTTAAAAAAATAATTAAGTCTTATTATGAACATTTTGCTGGAATGGACACGACAGAAGGCAATAGACAGTGAAAAATCACGGGATATATTTTCAATTAAAAAATCAAATACAAGACAACACAGTTTAAACTCAAACAGCCTCCCTGAATAAGAGTTGCTATCCAAACATACTCTACTACTATTAAAATTAAATGAGAAGAGCAGCTCATGGTATTTATTGCTGGTTTTGCCCAGGAGGTTACTTCTCTTTAATGTTACTCACATCATCTTCTTTGGTTCCACCCCAAAAATTAGTCCCACCAGCATAGCTGGGAATGTTTAGCACAGCTATGCCCTGCAGACTTGGAAGGGGGATGTACTGTCCGTCACACTGTAATGGATAAAAGCTCATTCAGTATATAAATAATGTGATAAAAGTAATCAGCCATTTTTAATACATGATGATTCAACAGAGCTGGCAGAGGAGGATGGAGTCATTAATAAGTTGACACAAGCCTATTCTATCCATGCTGTGAAGCAGCTCTAATAGAAACATCTTCTTCCCAATCTTACCACCAATTTTTGCGGAGCTGAAAAAATACTAGTATCTACGGCAGAGGTGTTCCATGATTTTTCAAAGACACATTTTCACGATTTCACATTAATTAAGTCTATTAAGCAGGGGAAAAAAAAAAATAAAAAAAATCCCAGAATATTTCTGGCATAGCCACAAACATGAAGTTAAACGTAAGTGTTGTTAGCACTTGTATACTTGCCTTCCTGTAAAAATAACTCACTCTCCTCCTAAAAGTGCAAAGGCAAATCTAGGAATGACCCCACACTTGTTACCCTGGCCATGGCTAGGTGTTGTTGATTTTGCAGGTAAGAGATCGCTCCTGTGACTGACCATTTATTCCCTCTTTCTTACGTCTTTATCTTCCGAAACCCATAAGCAACTCCAAGTCCTACTCAACTATGGGATGACATAGGTCAATCTCACCTTACTTATGGCCAAGAAGTCCTACTCAACACGATCATGGGATGACGTAGGTCAATCTCACCTTACTTATGGCCAAGAGTAAATTTACAGACTTCAGTGAAATCACTCTTGACTTACAGCAGTAAAACTGTCTGCAGAGGTGAGCCCAATGATCTCAAACCATTCAACTGGGAGTCAAAAGTGCGGTCCTGCAGCAGTGCCACAAGCGTGGATTTCAATTTGACGGTTGGACTCGATGATCTTAGAGGTCTTTTCCAACCTCAATGATTCTATTCTATGATTCAAGCAAGTTGATCATAAATGCTGGATTCAGGTGTCACTTTGGGGATCATGAATTTGCAGGTAAAGCTGCCTTTAAAGAAGACTGCTAGATTACTGCAAGTTACCAGTCCCACAGAAGGATTTTAAATTTATACAAATGAAATAGAAATCCTCAGGAAATAAGGACAAAATCTGTAGCAATTTTATCAGGAGGAGAGAGAGATGCAAAATTATTTCCAGAATGTGCTTAGTGCTCTCTTTTTATGATTTAATCTCAGCGACAAGACAGAATTTAACATTTTAATCAAAATGTGACAGTATCCAAAATATGCTGTGGTATTAATAGATGCTGCACATCCATTTGTATTATAGTAGAGGTCTGCCTCCAATTCCTGAAATTGATATTTTTAATTTTCCAATGCTGTGCGCCTCATCACATGTTTTAGCATAAGGCTAATATTATGCAAAGCAATACTAAATATGAAATTTCTACTTGCTGGTTTACTTCCAGAAATATTCAAAAATAATTATGGAAAGGTCAGGTTTGAATGCCTTATTGAATCTTATTTGAATCTTACTCAAAAGATCCTTAAATTAGAATTCTATCTGCAGCATACATAATGTTCTTTCCTGTCATTATATTCACTAACTACTGCATAATTCCTTGATAATTACTCAATCTTTAGATAACAGCAATCTGCTGCTACCAGACAAAATCTTCCTTTATCTCAGAGGAGTGATAAAGAGTTCCAGTAACTTAAAATTATTCTTTCAACTTAACAAGTTATCTTCATATAAATATGAATGAATACACTTCCATATGAAATGGTTAGCATGAAGTAAAAAGAGAAATTATGTATGTTCTTGGTCAAAATCCAGCCTAGATATTCTCTGGATGAAAACAACTGTAGCCATCCCACAGTCCTTTTTTGCATTTGGTAATCATTTATATCTCCTTTAAGCTCCCAGTATCATGAAGAAGACTTAGATTTTATGTTGGAACTTAAAAGACAAAAAATAACTATGTTTTGATAATATACACTTAATTTCTTGTTGCTGTGATAATACCTTGCTTCTTTCGTGTGACTGTCTCAAACACCTATTAGAGAATGTCTCTATAGATGTAGCTGGGCTTGTTGTGATGCACATTCAGAATCTCTCCTCTTATGTCAGGAATTTTTGACTAAGATCATCTGTGTGCTCTTCCTATATGTGTAATCAAGCTTTCAGATAGTTTAAAATGAACCCGAAGGATTAAGACTCCTTATCTCTTTCCTTCTGTTTAGTGTATGATCATTTCTGTTATTCTCCTTAAAACCTGGTCTCCCCCTTTAATGCAGTAAACATTAAGAAACATATCCTATCTATACAAGAAGATTTCTGAAAAAACCCACAGTAATTACAAGAAACATTATACTGGGTATGTTGGGATATTTAACTACTGACATTTTACTCCAAAAAAACACCTGGAGAACCACCTCTTACATAGCACATTTTTACACAGTGCCTTTGAGGTCAGCTTGGGTTGACGTAAGAACTCTAAAAGGTTTCAAGAGGAAGCCCAAATTCTTCACTACACATTGCGGAAGCAAAAATACTCATTCTGCCCATAAATAAAATTTACCTCAAGTTGAACTTTTTGTTCTAGGTTCTTGTAAGTTCTCTGCAGTAGCTCTTTTGTGCCAAGAACTCCATACCACATCATGTTTTTCGTCCGACTTCTGAAAACGGGTAAAACAAGATTCTGTGATTCTACGATTAAGATTCACATATTGACATACACACATTATTATGTCTTGTATTTGTAGGATGAGAAAAAGTTAAGAAATTCAAATAAAGAGATAAGGAAAAGAAAATAATGGAAACGTCTTGGCTCTGTTACTGACAATTATATTACCTGCACTTTTCAGGGTGCTCTTCTCGCTTGTTATCAAATTCTAGTGAAATTTTTGCATCTAACCCAATTCCAAAGTAGTTGTTCATGACACATTTTTCTGAATATCCCTCCCTGATAGAAGAAAAGAGATAATTAGTTGTACATTTGTATAGTACCTGGACACACAGAGCTTTGACCAAGATTGTGGTTGGTCTCAGAACAGATACATCAATCAAAAGACATCAAGAGATGTTTCCTCTGAATCTCCCTGAGGAAACCCAACTGCAGTCAAAGAGACAGATTGGCTGCTAGCTCCTTTGCAAGTGCACGTTACTCCCCGTAGGACAAAGAAGAAACTGTAACACCTCCCCATCTTAGCACTAGCTCCACCATACCCAAAATTAACAGTGGAATATGAGGAAAGAGCTGCCCCAGGCACGGCTCTGAGACAGCAGCACCACAGCGGGCCGAGCACCCAGGCTGTGTTTAGGCATGCTGGTGCTAGATGTTTGACTGATGCTGCCGGCACAGCAGTGCTTTGTTTTAGGGGAGCCGCGGCCCACAACCCAGACACTATCCATAAGTCTCTGCCAGTGCTACACCCAGTTCTGGGAAGCCGAGACAGCTTAGGACACAAAATTTCCACCTCACTGCTGCAGTCCTTAGGGGAACACTCTTCTTCTTCCTCCACTACGAAGTGCCTAGACCTGCTTCAACATCTTGCTGGTGGCTGAGCTTGTGTTCAGACCAGCAGTTTGGGCAGAAAAACCCAGCTCTGAAGGACTGCTGGCCTCCTCCTCTCCGAGCCAGTGGGCAAGGGGTAAGTGAGCAAACGTCTCATTATTTCTGCTGCTGCAAGACAATTCTGCACTACTCATATCTAAAATGGCACAATCCAACCTGTTTTCAGACCTTGAAATGGTCTGAATTCCATTTCAGACCTACTGCCAAATGACAGCAATACAGAATTTCATGATGAAAAAAAAGATTACAAAAAAGTAAAAAAAAAGCTTAAGAAAAGCAAACTAAAGCAAAACAGTAAATTTGGAAAAAAAAAAAATTCTTACAGTGAATCTGGATCTGGGTCAATAAACGGCGTAGCACCAAACGGATCGATGTTTGCTAGCAACATTTTGCTAATAATTGAACTTCCTGCAATAGAAGCAGCTAGACCAGCCCTCAAACCTGATTAAAAAAAACAGAAAAAAATAACAAAAAAACAATTTGTATTGGATAAACAGAGAAACATGTATTGTCATAATATAAGCCACATATTGAGAGACATTTTATTAAATCCATATAGGGAATGATTGTGTTTCTATCTCAGTTTTTACCTATATTGGTTATCTTTTCAGGTCTCTGGCTCTCTTGAGCAGAAAGGCAGCTATGCTGCGGTGCGGTGGCTGACTCTTCAGGTACCACCATTGAGAAAGAAAAAAACAAAGAAAATTCAGGATTTCAGGCCAACACTCACTGGCTGGCATAGTAACCAAATGGGTGACCTAATGTCCAAAAAGACTAGTAGAGCTTTTTATTTAGTTTAATCTTCACCTCCAAACTGACCATGATTTTCCTTTGGTCCTTTCCTTTGGAAATATTCCTAAGAAATACCCTCACCTTTTTTACAACTGCAAGACTCATAGTTTAACTTAATTTGTGGAAAGGTCACAGCCTTGCCATGCCTACCTTGACTAATATCAAAATCACTCTGCAAAACACTGTGTAATGCATGTAAACAAAGAAAAGTTCTTTCGAAAAGCATTCACTTAAATTGACCTAAAGAGAAATGTAAGCTCAGTTCCATTATGTTTTAACTATACTAATGAAGTTAATTAAAATAGTGTTTTACTGATGCCCCCTAGAATTAATTGCATTTGCATAAGAACAGATTTTTTTCAACTGTTTTTACTGCACAGAAGCTTTGTGTAGTTTCAGTTACCCATTTCCTGAGAGGTATCTACAGATACCTCTTATTCAGAGGGTTGAACTTTAAATGGCTCTGTCCCTCGGCCCCTTCATAGCCTCCACTGATTAGGATGAACGATAGAAGGACTTGGGGGTACTGGTGGATGACAAATTGGACATGAGCCAGCAATGTGCGCTCGCAGCCCAGAAGGCCAATTGTATCCTGGGCTGCATCAAAAGAAGTGTGGCCAGCAGGTCAAGGGAGGTGATTCTGCCTCTCTCCTCTGCTCTGGTGAGACCCCACCTGGAGTCCTGCGTCCAGCTCTGGGGTCCCCAGCACAAGAAAGACATGGACCTGCTGGAGCAGGTCCAGAGGAGGGCCACGAAAATGGTCAGAGGGCTGGAACACCTCTCCTATGAAGAAAGGCTGAGAGAGTTGGGGTTGTTCAGCCTGGAGAAGAGAAGGCTTCGGGGAGACCTTATTGTGGCCTTTCAAAATATAGAGGGGGGCTTATGAGAAAGTCTGAGAGACTTTTCACCAGGGCCTGTAGTGACAGGACAAAGGGCAATGGTTTTAAACTAAAAGAGAGTAGGTTTAGATTGGACATAAGGAGAAAATGTTTTACGATGAGGGTGGTGAGACATTGGCACAGGCTGCCCAGAGAAGTTGTGAATGCCCCATCATTGGAAGTGTTCAAGGTCAGGTTGGACGGGTCTTTGAGCAACCTGATCTAGTGACAGATGTCCATGCACATGGCAGACGGTTGGACGAGATGACCTTTAGAGGTCCCTTCCAACCCAAACCACTCTGTGATTCTATGATTCTAAAATCCTGAATTTAATTTTTCATCCTCCAGAATCAAACGCAACACTTCTGCTACATCTGGTGGTGTGCCAAATGATCAGGAATCTTCTACATTATTTTGCATTTCCTACTATGTGATACAACACAAAGATGTGTATGTTGGTTCAAACAAATTCAGGGCTCCTGGCATGAAGTAAAAATTATTATTTGACAGCAAGCAGGGGAACAGAAGGCAATATTAAAGTAGTGTAAGGAACAGCAGATTTCAAAATCATAATTACCTGGACAGATAATTCTAGTGTTAAGCACTGGGAGGTTTTCCTTGCTTGCAGCCAAAGCTGGAGCAGAAAAAGAGCCCATCTGAGAATGGATACCTCGGCTTGTACGTCGATCAGGAGATCTTGGTGCAGTTTTAACTGTGCAGAAGAAGTAAAAGTAAGAGCACTAATTAGACCTATTATGACATTACCAAATACAGTTTTTACATCCGTGAAAATACTTCAAAAGCATTAATTTGATCTGTTACCATTCCGTGACAAATGTCCTTACCCCTCACACCACAGTTTTTCTTCTAAATACAGGGAAGAAAACTCAGAAACAGATCAAGTGACAAGCACAAATTAAAATGAACAAGTGTACATGGCATTCAATGTGATGAGTTCCCAATTTTGCTTCAAGCTACTAGCAAAAATTGAATTATATCCACCTTAAAATGCAACAGTATTTAACGCTCTAGTAAGCTTCTGATAAACATGTTAATGAATTAATACAAATTTAAAGTTAAATTCAATGTGTATTTACTTATACCTATATTATATAGTGCATTATTATTTATAACAATTTTAATACAGATAGCTATTCTAACCCATAGGCCTGATCAATAATACCTGATCAAGAGCCATGCTATTTGCTTCAAGCAGCTAAAATGGACCCCCTGCCTGCTTCAGGTTTCTGAAAACCTCAGACAAAACTCTGACATCTTTATCTACAGCCAACCTGAAAACTGCAAGGGAAGGGAAAGCCATGTTCAGACGTTCTTGTCTTCTGCAGTTAGAGAGATCATTGGGGAAGATCGATTTACCATCATCTTTTCTTTTTCACAAGAAAACCCAGCAATTCCCAAAATAATTGAAAAAACTTATTTGTTAAAATTCTCCAGAAGATGGATCAATAAAACCTTGTGACAGATAGCAAAGTTTGGTAGCTGATCAAATTGTTGGTAGCAAAGGCAGGTAATGGCTCAGGAAAAAGAAGGAGAAGAAAATCAAAGGGAAAGAGAAGATGTTCACAAAGAGGAACTGGTAGCTCAGTGAGGCCAGTTATCCCCGGGGCTGCCTCTGGAGGTGATGAAGAAGGTAGGCTTTTCAGAGGGCAGACCTCAGGTGCTTCAATTTACTTTCCTGGCAGAACGTGTTTCATGCAGACTGAGAGAATATGCCAGTGCCTGCTTTAGCCTGGGGAAGTTAATCTTTGTGAAATTCAGCCCCGTCAGACGTAGCCAGAAATTGGTGCCCCAGGGAAGAAAGTTTGGGTATTACCGAATGCTTTGCTATAGCATTTCCATGCGCATATAGAAAGCTTTTACACACCAGATGATCATAGACATTTCTTGGCTACCTCCGCTCCAAATTATCTCACATGTTAAAACTACTTCAGCTTAGGAAGTCAACCTTGACCATCTGAAGAAGCTCAGAACAAAAAATGAAATTATTTCAAAGTGATCTGATATACTCCTCTCAAAACCTGAAAACTAATTCAGTAAAAATAGAATGATTAGGAGTAGCACCAAGAAAGCAAAAGAAAAACACCACCAGGAATGTGGTGGGAAGGATAAAATACACCCTTTTACGTGGCAGGAGGGGCACAGATCAGTTCACGTCAATCATGATAACTCAGCCTGAGAGTAACGTGGGTGTACTGTATGAAGACATTAATGGAAAGAAAATGCAGAGTGGGAAAATCTAGAGACAAAGGTAATAACAATAACCAGGGTTTAGAAATTGTGTTCAAATCAATTCAGGCCAGGATTTGGGCACCCACTTGTTTTTTTAAGTCATGATAATCTAGTATGGAACAGTCAATGAAATGGCAAATTCTTCACCCTCTTGTATCCCAGGAATAAGGTTTCACACCTTTCTAGATGACTTGCTTAAGTCAAACAGAAATTATTAGATGCAGGACAGGGATAAGTGGGTGAAATTTTCTGGACTGTTTCATATGAACTGACCAAGTGGACTAACAGCCCCTTCTGACTTTAACATCTGTATAACAGCCCTAGCAATTATCACAAAATGCTATAGTATTGCATGATAACAATACAACACAATGATTTGTATCTGTGCACGACAAAACACTGTAATATAAAGTTAAAAAATGAAAAGAAATAAAAACTGCAAGTGATATCTAACAAGAGTTATTAAATATTTAGAGGAAGGTAATTAACATATGGAAAAATACTATCTTCGTCAAATGACCAGGAAGATCCTCGGAGGGTAAAATATAATATTCAGAACAAAATTAACATTGATTTTTCATAACGCTACTGAAAAATTCACAATGCTATTCACACAGTCTGTTCTCTCTGTACTTGGGCACAAGGCAGTTACATTAAATAGGAAAATCAACAGAGCAGCTGCTCTTTATTTGACAGATGAGACTCATGGGGATAACTGCAATAAAGATAAACTTTTGCTGTTCATGCTCTGATAAAAACAACAGAGTCCTAATGAGTAAAACTGATGTTTCATTGCAGATAATTGAATTCATGTTTCATGCTTTGTCCCTGAACACCTATCTTCCACTGACAGCATTAATATGCACTCTATTTCACACATATCAGATGTAGGAAGAATAATACAGCTTCCCAATAAATGCAGAAATTGTATCACCAAGAAACAAGAGGTTTATATATATTTCTACATATGGATATACATATGTGTGTATTTTTATTTTATTATATATCTATGGCAGTAGGATTGGGTCATCCGTAGGGCCAGCATCCTCTATGAGCTACTATTAAAACTGGACAACCAACACACATTGATTCCTATAACCAAGGGAAAAGGAGAGGGGCCAATGAAGAGACAGTCACTGGAGAAAGTCTGAAATCCATTCCTGGAGAAAAGGAAATGTGAGATTCTGAATCAACAGAAGCCCCAAGAGACTAATGTTGTATTTCTAAGGTAGGTGCCACCAACACAGGCACCAGCTTCCGAGCAGAGCCTCACGAGGACACCACCTTTTGAGGATGTTGGTGTGAGTTAAGGTAACAGAAGGAGATGCAAATCCCAAACAACTTTGCTCATTTTGCCACAGGAAGTTGCTCAACAAATATCTAGAGGATGGCTTTTGCTGTCCACCAGCTACCACTGTTTCTCCCTGACTCGCACATCATCTCGAGACCTCACCTGCAGTGCATCACTGTCCACTTTGGTAATACGGCAAAGACTGAAATTTCCACCTATAGTAAGAAGCAGCTTTCCTAAAATTACTATGCAGCTTGAGACTCTTGAACAACCCTGGCACATGAACTACCAGTCAACACAAAATGCAGTATTGACGTTTGTGATGGAAAATGTCCAAACATGACCTCTGGCTGGATTGGCTTGGTGACAAAACCAAGCAAGGGAGGAGGTAAGTAGAGTCCCTTATAGACAAATTGTCCTTCCTTCTTCCACTGCAGCCACTCACTGGCAGATTTCATAAAGGACACATGAAGGAGATATTTTACCCTATCATCTGAATGTGGGAATTAGTACTATGCTATTTCAGGACATGACTATTCCTAAATACTGTTTTATGTACAGTAACCAAACACTGAATAGCCAAAAGGAAAGCTTAGTGACAAAATGGGCTGTTACTTTATGAAAATGCTACCTTCCAAGCAAGTTGTTTTAAACTCAGATCATTCAATATTCTGATTGCTTTGTACAACTATTGATAAAAATAATACAACTGCGCTCTTTCTGCTGCATTTGAAAACCCAGCATGGGCTACCCACGCTGTCTTCCTTTTTTTGGAGAGTAACCTGCAGAGCCCCACAGTGAGGGCACGATGATGCTCCTACAGGAAAGCAGGTGCACTCAGACAGCAGCAGATGATAAAGTCCACCTGACGAAGGACAGAGCAAGTAGGGGGCTCTACACCTCGGAAAGCAAGAGTAGCTTGGTATAGTGGCTTGCTGTATGGCTTGCTATACAGCGGCCAATAGCTGCAAGGAACTAGCTGGACTACTGACCTGTCTTCGGGACAACAACACAGGAATTTTTTCATGGGAAGGAGCCCAAGGATATTGAAGACTTTAGTTCAAATTCCTGCTCTGGATTAGGCAAATAGAAGGGGTGACCTTAGTACTGCAATTCCTCAGGAGACTTCAATGCTCCAGCTTCTATTATATTCTTTCCCGCTTTACGCTGTTCCACTTCATATAAAAGACTTAAAATTTCATTCTCTCCATTCCAATAACTGTCTCCAAGTAAGTTCCCAGCTGAGACATCAGAATTTCATTGTCAATACAATGAATAAATATGTCTGTTTCACACAATTTGAAATCCCTTCAACAGAAATGATTGACAGAAATTCCTATAATGTACCCTAAAACGCCTACAACTGAGACACGCTATTGCCACCATGACCCAGGCTCTAGTCCCTGCTCAAGTTCACGTAGAAAGGTGTAAACACTGGATTAAATGCAGGCACTTCTTTCCCCAAGTACCTTCTCAGCTTTGTACATCCATTCCAAAAGACTGTTCATCTCATCTCCCGCATTTTTCCCTCAACTTTTATTTATCGAGATCTATTAAAATTTGTGACTAGTTTCCAGTGAAAGAGCATGCTACTGTTTTTAATTATGGAGCCAACGATGCTCCATAATGCAACTATAAGAAGACTGAATAATTTGAAATTATTTTATTCCTAATTTACTCACTTGATGGCGACTCAAGTTCCTTTGTATCTTCCTCTTTTTCCTCTTCTTTGGATTCATCCAATTCTTTGCTATATTCTAGTGGGGACTGGTTCACTTGTTCTTCACTATGAGCATTCTGCTCATCCACAACTGCTTATTAAAAAAAAGACAAAGTTTCAAGATCTTTAAAGAAAATCTGCAAAAATGGAAAATTAGCTTCTTTTTTTCTGGAGGGTTAACTTTCAGTTTAAAAATATTAACAAAAGATTTCTATTGCCAATTCAGTGAAAAACAGTCTAGCAATCCTGTGCCCATTGATAGAGATTTACTGCCGGAAATTTTCATTTTGTGGAGGATAATAGTTACAAAAGAAACACACTTTTACATGTGCACACACATGTATTCATATATGCAGACAGTCATCACCATCCAAACAAGCTGCATTTCTTTTCCTTGAAGCTTGTAATAAGCACATAATTTTATCTACATAAGAATGTAGAAATCAAGCTTTAAAAATGAAAATTTATGCTAGTTTTAAAAAAAAAAGGAATCATTATTCTGTCAGTAAGGATCAAAACGTTGCTGATGTGCACCTTTTTCTGCTTGTTCAATGATCTGCCTCACAGCCTTCTTCAAGCTGTTTGCCCGGAGCATTAACTGTTCCCTCGGTTTGAAGAGTTTCTGGGTGGAAGACTTTGAGACACACTCTGCTAATTGCTCTTTACTTTCAGACAAGGATTCTTCACTTGAAAACTCCTCCGCTTCTTCTTCCACAATGGGGGGAGAGATAGCTGGGAGCATGGGAGCAGCCTGGGCTTCTGTGTGAAGAGCCTGGAGCAATAGGTCTAGCTTCTCATTTAACTCTGAGCACTAAGACAAAGTGGAAAAGAATACACACACACAAAAAGCATTTGAACGTGCGAACATTTTCAGGAAATTAAGTGCCAGATTATAGGGAGGGATCTAATTTCTCCATGAGGCAGAATTTAAAATTGTCTGTGTCTAAGTGTCTATGTCATTGTCTCTGTAAAATCCAAACCCAGGCTCCGTATTTCATAATATCAGATTATCAGTAGGTCTGCATGGGTTTTTGCAGACTCCGTGACACCCAACCAGATTAGAGCAATTATAACAAAAACCCCCTACACTCAGACTAACATAACACACTGTGCTAAACTCAGCCTGCCACATAACCAGGGTGCAGATGAGATCTTACTCTTCTTCAGATGGCCTGCAGCACAGAGAGAACGAGCACAGATTTGCCCATATCATGCATTATAACAAATTACGGGTGCTCAGTACCCCAATTTGAAGAGATAACCTATGGGGACATGCCTAGCTGTTAGACTGAAAACACATGGTCATGTTGGGGTTGGGTTTTTTTTGCAACACAGCTGTACATTTAAGCAAGTGAGTTGTCACAGAGCAAAGAGGCTCAAGCCAGAACCAAACACTGTCAAACACCTCTACCCCTGACTGAGCAGTTGCTCTCTAGGTACACTGGAAAAGAGGTGTTTTTCTATGCTTAAGGGAAAGGAAGCCAACACTGTTTGGCCCTGGAACAGTAAAAAAGAAAATTCATTTTCTAAAATGTGCACTGAATAGAAACGTGAACCAGGAACTACCATTTAGCAAGCACATTTCCTGACTCTGGGATTGTTAGTGATTTTGTTTTCTTCTTTTCTTTTCAGCTCATGTAAATTTTGTGCCTCAGACCAAATCCTTCTGGGTTTTTTTCAATGCTTTTGCAACATGATCTCTACAATTTACAGCTTAAACCATTATTTTTAACACTGTAGTCTCTCTTCCCTTCATTCTCCCAGCATACTCTCTCTTCATTATCCCATTGTTTTCCTGCAGTTAACTTAATCCCTTTCAGAGAAAAGTGTAACTCCTAATGCAGAATATTTCCATTTATCTCTATGTACTTTAGCATGTACTTTATCCTTTCTGAAGGAAAAAAGTGTAAACAGAGTTTATAGAGATCTTACAGTTTAAAGATAGTTTGGAATAGTGCATAGTGTTCTATGCACTATGAAGAGAAGATTTTTAAAGTCACCAGTTGAAATGGAAGTCAAGCTGGGCATCCTGGAGAGGTTTAAAAATTAAACACCCATGAACTATAACACAAAAACACAAGTTTAAACCAGAAAATAGTCATTGTCTTACTTTAATAGCCATGGCATCAGCTTCCTCTGCATTTTCCATCGGTTTTTCATAAGTCTTCCCTATTTTGGCAACAAAGTCCTTTACAGTTTCACATAATATTCTTCAGATAAAAATAGGAGAGGGGAGAAATCAAATTAAATTAAATAGATATGTTTTGAATATTAAATTCTTATGGCAACTGGTTTATGTGCATACTGCTATACACCATTCTTGTTGGAAACTGAACTCTGTGATCATACTTGCAAAGCAGATGATACTGTTTTCCATGGCTTGCCAAATTCAAGCGATAAGCTTTAAAACAAAAAGTCTTCCTCCCTTTTTATTTAAGACTTTGCACACATTGTATGTAAATCTCTTATTTCTAAGAACTGAAATAAACATGACTAATTTTATTCATTCCCTTGCTTGTACACCTTCCATACCAGAGTTGTCAGCAAACTTGCCTTCACTTTGTTAACTTCAGACACAGTCTTGCAAACTCCCATGCGAAGATGGAGCCTAGAAACCATGGAGAAAATCTCCTGACTTTAATGGAGCACTTCTTAGATGAAAGCATATGGCCACACGCGTCCCATTGCACCACTCATGCTTTTGAACCATAGCTGACCCTGAGGCGTATCTATGCAAACTACAGTGGCTGCAATGAATTTTCATGGTGTAAATCACAGGAAGACTTGGTTCTTATTCCCTACACTGCAGACAGACGGCAAACTTACTAACGAGGTGTGGATAATTGCTTAGTACTGTTCATTGGTTGAAATTTATTTGACAGAAACGAAACAGATTTAACAAGATACAGACCCAATTTAGAATTTGGAGTTAATTTTCAACATGTGCTATGTATATTTTATAAATGAAATTTTATTAACTTGCTTTTGGCAGAAAAAAAAAGAAATGTAATGACATTCGGATGTATTTTTGAAGACTCTGTGACTGGTCTTTTGCATATCGCAAAATACAAGATTTTTTTCACAAAGAAGGTATACACAGAATACTTCAATTTCAGATGATGTCCATGATTTGTCAAGTAATGATCTCTCATTTTTAAGTGTTTCAGTTTGGGGAAAAAACCCTGTTGTCTGAGACCACTATTTATTGAATTGATATAGACAGAGCCATGACAAAGCTACCTAGCCTGAAGTTTGCCTTCACATTGGTGAAGTTGTTTGTCCTCTTAATGATATGGATATGCATAAAACAAAACAGAAAAAATGTAATGGGAAGTTGATCACATATTTGCATTGGTAACAGTAAGTTTCATATTTAAGCTGCACGCTGATTTGGAGTGATTTAAAATCACTTCACATTAATATATGTGACTTTATTTTTTAAATGGTGATGTATTTAGAATTAAGCTATGCATTACAATTGTACCATAGAAAAAATTTGCAGAAAAAACATCCACTCTAAAATATATAAATTAAGATATATTAAGCCAAGCAAGCGAGGCCAGCCATAAGAAAATCAGGCTCACACAGAAGGTTATTATGGTGATGATGTTACACAGGGGATTTATCCCACACATTGTACATAAAAAGGATCAACTCACTTGGCAGATGATATGACAACTGAGTGCTGATCAGAATTGAGAATTTTTGCAAGATGAGCAGCAACTGAGTCCTCATAAGCAGATATCTGAAAACAGAGAAAGAAGACTTCGATTTCCACACGTTTCAGCATTTTAACACCTACTAGTGAGTTAAAACACCTCCAAAAATAGCAGGATTTCCATTTCAGATCTAATAAGAGGACATGCAGCTGGCAACGCAGATTCTACCTGCATACTGTATTTTATGTACCAGATTTTTAATATTGAAAGTAACACTGCATCTGAGAACTTGATGCACAGCTCTTTTGCTCCTGTAGACAAAACAGTAGGTTATTTCTAGGCTAAAAATAGTCCACGAGGCAGAAAAAACTACTTTCTTTCTAGATTTATAACAACCTCAATTATTATAATCTAATATCTTTTATTTCTAAAACAAGCGAAGTTTCCCTCAGACTAAGCTGCTCAACTAAGAATAAATCAAAAGTTTGCAGTTATAATCCTGAATTTTCTTTTTACTGCCAAGTGGGGTCTTACTCCCCAAGTACCAAGTACCCCTACTGACAAAGGCTGCTGAACTGGTATAATTTTATCAAAACCAATCCTTAAGGAGCAAACCATTTAGGGCTTAGTCTTTACAAGAATGTTTGGGAGAATGAACATGTCCACTGTCCGTCTTTTCTTGCACAGAAGAATTATAAATCCTGAAATACTCAGGCAAAGATTTGGAATGGATCAGATTCACATCTTCATGCACTATGTAAGGAAGAAATTTTTTACACTGAGGGTGGTGAAACACTGGCACAGGTTGCCCAGAGAGGTGGTGGATGCCCCATCCCTGGAAACATTCAAGGTCAGGTTGGACGGGGCTCTGAGCAACCTGATCTAGTTGAAGATGTCCCTGCCCACGGCAGGGGGGTTGGACTAGATGACCTTTAGAGGTCCCTTCCAACCCAAACCATTCTATGATTCTATGATTCTATATCCCATCTTAAGATAGGCATGGATCCAGACCTCAGTTTTAAAAGAAAATTCTAACCAAATTCCAAACCTAAAGCTAAAAATAAATGCAGTTCTGAAATTTTCTGATGGCTTCCTTTAAGAATCTCTTAAAATCTCTTAGTGTGTTTTTGCCCTTGATATGGAGCAGGTAGATATTCCACTCTTTCTTCTTCCTAAAACGCAGCCTTAGTTGTATAACTCTGACAGTAAATCAGTTTTCATTTCAAGGGAAAAAACAGTATGTAAACATCTGATCTGTAAGAACGAACTACTGTTGTTCAAACATCAGTATAAGACTTCTGGAACCAAACCAAGTGAAATGGGCCAGTCAAATCTGGCGAGTCAACAAATGGTTACAGGGCTGGTGCCAGAGTCAGGGGTTCGGCTACTTCGACCATGGGACTCGCTTTGAGAAACCTGGTATACTGGGGGCTGACAGGGTCCATCTGTCAGAGAAAGGGAAGAGCATCTTCAGTCATAGGCTTGCCAAGCTGGTGAAGAGGGCTTTAAACTAGAGATGCTGGGGGAGGGGAACCTCAATCCATCCCACTCCTACCAGTTTGATGCCAGGGCCAGCAATAGATGCCCAGAGCCTGGAGAAGGAACACAGGTCAGCAGGAGAGCGCCTGAAGAGCAGCACAAAGGAACTCCAGCCAGTAAGACAGCTTCATCGGAGGCCCAACTTAAATGCCTCTATGCAAACGCACGTAGCATGGGGAATAAGCAAGAGGAGTTAGAGACGTGCGCACGCCTGCAGGGCTACGACCTTATTGGCATCACGGAGATGTGGTGGGATGACCGGAGTGTTGGGATGGAGGGATACAGGCTCTTCAGGAAGGACAGGCAGGGGAGATGAGGAGAGGGTGTCGCCCTCTATGTCAATGACCAGCTGGAGTGCATGGAGCTCTGCCTGGGGATGGATGAGGAGCCGACCGAGAGCTTGTGGGTCAGGATTAGAGAGAAGGCAGGGACAGGTGACATTACGGTGGGGGTCTGCTACAGGCCACCCGACCAGGAAGAACGAGCGGCTGAGGCCCTCTATAGACAGATAGCAGCAGCCTCACGCTCACAAGCCCTGGTCCTCATGGGGGACTTCAACCACCCTGACATTCACGCAAGCATACAACATACGCTGCCAGATACAGCCTTTTTGCATCTCTAGCAAGCTGTCAAAGGTTATAACCTCCTTGCCAATTAAAACAGTCTGAATTATTAAATTATTCAAGAACCTGCTGATTAATTATTTCTTCTCAAGTACTTTTGAGTTAAAGTTGATGTGCATCAACTTTCTTAGGCATATATTATTTTCTCATTTTTAGTCAGACTTTTCATTCCAATTAATTTGATTAAAGGATTTCCCTCTCCCTCAAAATCGAAACCTCATCAGATAGTACAAGCACAAATCTAGTCTGAAAGACAGACTAAGCTTTTCTTTGAGGTCACTTACGATTTCGAGCTCTCTGAAAAAAACAAAGAGAAAGTTGGGTGGTATCACCTGATCTAGTCACTTCTACAAGCTGCAAAAAGCTTCTTTCTTTCTTTCAGAATACAACCCTTGCCTTCGAAATATTGGGGTTTTTCAATGCTTATTCCAAACTCAAGATAGCCAACATTTTGCTTTTATATATGTATCAAAAATATATTTTCATATATTTTCATATATTATTATAGTATACATAGTATTATTATAAAACATAACACTATTTCTTTATAGAAAATATTCTTATATAAAAATAATTATATAAATATGAAATATTTTATTATATAAGGATAAATATATTCTTATATAAAAATAACATATACTATATATAATATATAAGGTAATATGTAAGATATAAATGTATTTTTCAGGAAGAAATTTTTCTGACTGCTCTGCTGAAGACTCCTTACCTTCATTCATTTTTGGCAAATAATACAGAACTGGAAACCCTAATTATTTGAGGTACACACCATGAACAGACATTAACTCAGTTCAGTTAGCAGATCACAAAACATCTGTTTCTATTTTTCACGCAAGTGCTTCAATTATAAATATTGTCATGCCAGAAGCTCAAAGTTCAGTATATGGAGCAACAAAACAAAAGTAAAATTTCACCTGGCATTCCTCCGACTCTTCTGTAGTCACTGGAAGAATAGAAGGCTTTGCTGGTAATTTCAGTTCCTGTGACCACCTAAAAGAAACATAACAGCTTTTAAGTTTCCAGATTATTAGTTTTATCTTTTCTTCAACATATGAACAAAAAGAAACTTCAGTGTCACACCAACGGTTAAAAAAACCCCAAACAAAGCATCTTAATTTTTAATTGTATGCTAACTGAATATGGCTGAAATAATTGAGACTGAAGATAATAATTGGTTTTATTGCTTAGATTTTTTGTTAGTGATTTGATGATGAGCCTTCTTTGTGAACAAATCATGGGACATTCAATGCAGGCAACAAAGATTTTCTAGCAAAACATTCACAGTATAAGAGAATTCGTGCAAACTAATTGCAGAAGTCAAAGGAAAATATATGTGTTACTAGAGAAAAAGCTCCAAGGTAACATTAGCTTTTCATCTCAACTAGGGGAGGGAGGCATGAGAACAAAGCAAATGGTGAACTATCTTCATTGACATACATATATTTTTTCCCCTGGTAAAGGACAGTATTCTACAGCATAGATAGTATGAAATCGCTAATAGCAACATCCTTCAAAGCCTGCTGAAAAGAACAAGTAATCACTGCAGATGGCCTTGGGGAGCAAGTCTACAGAAATTAGAGCAAAAAAAGACACTGGGCTCTTTTCAGTACAGAAAAGACAAACATGATTTAATCTACAAATCTTTCAGAATGCCCAGGCCAACAATTATTTCTAAGGATCAGTAACAAGCATTTCTCTATGTACTTTGCTGTAAAATGATCAAGTAGTATGCAGAAAAGCTTAATGTAAAAAAGGACTTGTTTCTCTATCTCATAAAAAAAACCCTAAAATAAAATCCTCTTTGATCACATTCAGGTGTTTGTAACTACAGCAAGAACAGAAACACCCATGAGAGAAAGGAACAGAGTAAGAAATACTCCTCTCAAAAACAGTGTGTTACACCTTCATTGGAATGACATGACCACCACCTTCTCTGACTTTTTGTAAATTGGGATTGCTCCTTTGCTTTATGGATGGAAATGACACAAAACAAGGAGTGGGAAGATCTCTTGTTTTTGACTAAGAAAATGCCTCCAACAAAAATATTAGTAGTGGATCAAGCCAAAGATCCACTTAGCCCAGCATCTTTTCCATGAAAGCACATGATGAGAGTTCTGCCCACATCCAAGGACAGAAAGCTCAGGTGTTTCCTAAAGAAAGATGCTACCTTTAACAGTATTTAATAGTGTGCATGGAGTCTGTAAAACTGCCCTAAATGGTTTTGAATCTATACAATTTCTTAATGCTTACAAATTCTTGTAAGAGGCAGTTATGCAGCTTCACCAGTTATGCAATAAACTGTCTCCTTTGTTCACCTTTGGACAACACGCTTCCTAGATTCATCAACTGCTCCCCCCTCTGACTCTTCAGTTTAAAAAGGATGTTGAAGAGCTGTCCCCATTACTATTTCAGCTTCCCTCATGATTATGATCTGCACTCTGAAAACCAAAACCACTGAACATTAAGTCTCTAGGATGGATTTAGGCCATCAGAAACCCAAACAAATACAATTTGAATCTCATTGTAAATCATGTATATGCACGTTTAGGTTTACCTGTCTAACATTTTCGTGCTGGCTCGTTCTAGTTTCTCCAAAATCTGAGGAAGTTGTGTATCATCATCACAGGATCCTCCCCAACCAAGGACACGAGCAAGGTCATTTCCAGTACCAAGGGGTAACACTCCTAACTGACACTGAAACACAACACAGGAGCAAATCTACTATTGAAAACTAGAAAGAAAAAGTACGAACTATTACACATGCTTGTTATTTCAAGCAACAAATGTTAATTATACAGCTGATGCCTAAAGCTTGTAAATCAAATTGTGTAATCCAGATACAACCTGTCCTGTTTACGCCAGTGAAAATTTTCGTTTATGAGTAACTATTGAGTTTGGCCCATATCCACATACATGACAAAGAACCAAGTCAAGGAAAAGTAAGGGTACAAAATTAAGTCTAGTAAGTATAGTCAAGGAAAGTAAGTATACACACTTGCCTGTTTGTGCAAGCTGAGCTTATCAATTTCTGACAAGACCCAACCCACGCTTCCATCGCCGCCACACACAAGAATCCTAAAGTTGTCAAACTTCTGAAATAACCGCAAACTGCAGAGAAAATGCAGCCTGTTAGGGCCAATTATGTCCATTAGCAAGAGAGCAGTTATATTCATCAGCAACTGTTACATGAAAATATGCTGCATGGCACCTTTATGGTGGTTCTTTCCTTGTTCTGGGGTATGTGGATACAACCAATTACTTAATAAACCTATCTGAATTCCATCTATTGCTGTATATTCCACTTATACTGACATTTCTGATAAATAACATGCCGAGCTTTACTTTAAAAAAATTTCCCTTGATATTGTTTTCAGGATTTTATTAATATTATTTTATTAATTTTATGACTAATAAAAAAAAGTCTTTCTAAGCTATGAAATTGCAACTGCTCTATGCTTCCTACTTCAGCCAGAAGAACAAGGCACCATGGGGAATTTTTCACGAGAGAAGGTTAAGACACAACGACAGGATGTGCTCCACAATACGGATGGGCTTTTGCCAACGTGTGACTAACCAAATGCAAGGACAGTTGGAGGCAATTATTACACGTAAGGTGATCACAACAATGTAAGACAAATAATACTAGTATTTCATATTAAATCCTTAAAGCCGTATCCTGCTTTCGCTTCCTACAGCTCTTCCTCCTGTTCTCTGACTTTTAAGACTTACAGGATGCAACACTTGGGCACTACAGGAAAGGAGGACAAGAGAGACAGAACAAGCAGAAAGGTGAGACACAGAGGAAAGGGGAGTGAGATGTGAAGAAACAGCCAAGAGGTAAAAACAACAGGGATTTAAACTAAAAAAAAAAAAAAAAAATTAGAAAGTAGAAGCTCTTAAAATAATAAAAATAAATGTTTATTTTTAATGCATGTTATTTTCCAGAATATGTATAATCTCAGAAATATTTCTAAAAAGCAACACATTAAGATCACAGATTTTTGAAGCATTTATATTTTTTCTAAAGAAAATAATGTCACTTATATATGATAAATAATGTCACTTGTATATGATAGGCAGATACCTATTCAGAACAAAAGATGCAGATATTTAAGGAAAAAAATGTCGATACCAGAACAATTTCTCCTACCCTGAGAAAAGAGAGAAAAACCCCTAGAAATTCACTATCTCAAAGAATACAACTCTGCTTTTTAGATCAACTAAAAAAAAGAAGACATCAGCACGACCTGATAGAATAACTGCTAAGGATCTCTCCTTGGAAACTGGGAAAAATATTTAAAAGCAACCAACCTGACCTACCAAAGTGAGCCTCCTGAACCATGCTGCTGCTAGGTACAACTAGATGAAACAAGAGAACTTGCAAACAGACAGACATATTTTTTCAGACTGTCCTCTCTCAAAACTTGTCTCTCCAGTTGAGATGAACCTTCTTTACTTTTATCCGTCATTATAATTACATGTACGAAATGTTAGCCAAAAGGGACTTTGATTGAATTCGGATTTAAATCAGGGTTATAATGAAAAGAATATTACAGCTTAAAGAATTAATGTAACATGTCCATAACATAGTACTAACTATAAAAATCCACATCTGTATTCCCTTATATTTGTATTATTTGCCCACTGTTTGAACTGAATTTTTGTGCATTTGTCTATATTTTTATCATGTAAGCATAATTCTGCATCTTCAAGAGTACAAAAATTAGTGTTTCTAGTTGCTGTAACTGATATTAATAAGCCATTTAACCAGAATGCTACATCTGTGTGGAATTAAGTTAGGCAACAGAAAAATATGCATGAATTTAATCTTTATAAATGTGCAAAGATGCTTGGGTTTGTGGCCACCACTATGCAAATTTCATCCCTATCTCTCCAATAATCAACCCTTAGATTTTGCAGAATGCCTGATGGTTTTAATTGTGTTCTTGCTCCAAATTTTGTGAGATGCTCATTTTCTTGACCATTTGCATATGTTGCCTAAACCATATTTTGAATGTACTTTTCAGATGACAAAAGTTTTAGTGTACTCATCCATCACCCACTGCAGACTCCCCCGCTGACATTTGTGTTCAGAATTCAAAAAGATACAGAGTACATTTAGACAATAGTTTTATTCCATAGCTATTCACAACAAAGTCACAGGAATATCTGAATTACACATATGAAATGGAAGAAAAGCACCTGGGCAACTGTGCATAAAGGCCCTGATTCAGGAAAGCATCTAAACATTCGTAATGGTTTTGAACCTTACCAGTTAACAGAAGTCAAAGCTAGCCAAAAAGCCACAAAACACTTGGGCTGATAGGTTTTGGTTGGAATTTTCAAATGAGTTTTTCTAAAAAGAAAATATTATCCTACAATCCCTTCACCCACCAGAATTCACCCTGAAATTCTGTTATCTCTTAGATTTTAATTAGGAAGTCACAGGTAGATATTGGTGATAGAATGATAACAATGAGGGGACAACACAACACTATACTTCACACTAAATTCCCTTGCGGAAAGGATTGCTCAAGATTTCCAAGGTCATTACCCTAAGTGAGGTCCTCCATTCATTAAATCGAACACCTGAGCTGGATTTAACGACTGTTTGAATCGACGAAGAAACTTTACTCCCTGATTGTCTCCACTCTTTGAGTTAACAAAAACTAAAAGAGGACTGGCACAGGATGGCGGGCATGTGGCTTTCCAGAAACCTGTGAACATAGTTAGAAAGAATGAAATAAATAAGGCTTTCTAATATGAACAACACAAAAAGAAATCATGGGAAAGAGGAAGAAAGGGATGAAGGACAAAAGGCGTACATTTTATCATGCATAATGTAAACGCTAAACTGAGTATTAGCCCTGCAAAGAAAACATAATTGCTCAAGATTTAGCAGTTCATTTTTTCTTTCCAGTATTCTCAGTGCCTAGATTTAGTAAAATCCTGAAGACAATAGCTTTATTGTTTTTCCACAGTGAAAAAGTTTATTAACCTTTTAGAATACTTCTCAAATCTCATCTTCACAGATTATCACATAATTAAACATATATTTCAGTTACAAGTGTTTTGTTTTTAATCTGATTTTTCATTAACCTTACTGGGTTCAACTGGATCATCCACGTCTGTATGAGCTTTCTAAGAGTACTCACAGATTTTAAAAGTTACTGTACTCAGTTGCTCCCAGGTGAGACTTTGCATGAGAACTTTTTTCTCAGACTGAAGTTATACTATTAATTATAATAGAATCACTGAACAGCAGACCTTCAGCTGTGATCCAAAGCTTATTAAAGTCAATGCAGGTCTTAACTAATTACAGCAGGCTTTCTATAAGGCCCTTAGTAAGTAGTACTAATTGACACTGTTGTCACTAACATGACCAGTCCATGGAAGTAGTGGTTTCTCAGCAACACTTCAAAATCAGACATCACAGGTATAGGCTTTGACATTTGTTTCAGGCAATATTAAAATGACTATGTTGTTTTCAATTACTAAAAAAATTACTAAAGCTACAAATAAAAAATTGGCATTAAAGGATGCTAATTGAATTCCACATTATCATAATGTATAATTTAAAATAAGGTTTGATTAATTTATTTAAATGCCAATAAAAATAATTTCACATATGGAACAATCTTTCTAGCATGAATAATAAATAGCAGCATGACGCTCTGGTCTAAGACACCACATAGCAAGTAAATAAACTGAATATATACAACATAAACAATCACTTTTACTGACTTCATACAATAAAATTCATTAAATTGTGTTAAAGTTGTTGGTCTACATTTGCCATCAACACAAACTATAAAAATAAAGCAGTTAGATTTCATGATACTCCTTATTAAATCCACTCCCTGCCTTTAAGTGCAGTCTCCCACTGCTCACGCGTCTCTTATTCTGAGCCACCAAAGAGCACCTCTGAGTTTTGAACGTTTGCTGGATTTTTATCTGTGCGTTGCAGGATTCTTACACTGCTTATATTTAAAAGAAATTTAGAGAAGCTATGGAAGCAATTCCTCTCTTTAGCCTGGTAAAGTAGTTGTTGGATCTGAGACATTCAGCTAGCTTACCTCTGCATAAAGCCAAGTTATCCAAAATTTGAGAACTCACAGAATGAGTGATGCATGCCAGGCAGGCATCAGCCCACTTCGTCTGAGGACTCTGGTCATTCACTTGAAAAGTTTCCAAGGCTCATAAACAAAATGGGAGAAAATTTCTACTGGGGAACTTTCAAAAACGTTTTTTAAATCATGTCGGTTAAATAATCCTTTAAAAAGCTACACGGAAAATTATACTTTTCTCTAAATTTGAAGACTGCATTCACCTGCTCAGCAGAAGGATTTTAGCCTTGTTTAGTTATACAGATCTCACTAGGCACTGCAAGTCCAGAGCTACCACTGAACACGCTACAATACTACGTACCATCAGAGTCTATACTGTTTAGTGCTGTTGGAGGTATGATCGATACCTTACATTGGCCAAGTGGACATTTACGAGGATACAGATCTTTACAGGCAGTGTGAACCTACAAAAGAAACAAAAAATTATTTCCCTACAGTGGAATTTTGGGGTGAAAGTATAACTGATACAGTATCTATGTAACAAAAATGGGCTAACATATAACATTTAGGTGTAGAGGGAAGAGGAGCGAGACTGGAAAAAAAATGTGTGAGTGTTCAACCACAAAGGCTTGTTACTCATTGCACAAAACATAAGTTTGGAGTACTTCACCTTCAGCTACCCCTATAGCAGATATGAATTGTCCTTTCAAGGGAATCGCTTACCTCCATCCACGAGCAAGGGAGGACCAAGTTTCCAGCAGCCAGCATCTGTGCTGGGGGCAGCAGGCACACTGTGCACATGCAAAGCAATAGCTCTGTACATGCCTGGTCCACCTGGCTGTTCTGGAAGATGTTATCTGCACTAAAGCTAGCACACCTACCAAGCCAGACCAACCTGCCAAAGGTGGGTCCCATAAACGATGCGTTGTAGAGGTCTCTTCCATAGTTATGGGAAAAACAGGCACATGCAGAGGGTGCTGCACTTCACCTAAATTTCATATCACCTCTGGAGATGGCAATCATTTCCCACTGCCTACACACAGAGCCTCAGACATCTATATGCCGAAAGCTTCAACAATAAAAAAACCTGCTGACTTTCCATTTCTATACCCTAGCATATGAAACCCATCTTTTTAGACAAGTTAAAAAAAATAAGAGAAAACTATATTTTGGGGAAACAGCAATAGCATGTTCAATCAGCAACCTACAGAGTGTCCTGAAGAAGAGAACGTCAAGATTTTGCAGTAATAAAAATGTTACTACATTAATATTAGTAAATATTAATAAATATTAATATTACTAATATTACTAAAATATTATTACAGCAATATCTACAATAAAAAGACAATAGCATATGATTATGAGGCATACAGAACAGGCATTTGAACCTTCAGTTATCAGTTAGGAAAAGGCAGAGAAAACGCATTGGATGACAACACCTATTAAAGAAAAGCTGCATCTGTGGGCGTATTAAAAATTAACTGAAGCAAGTAGGACAGTCATGAGAAATTATGAATGTTAGAGAGACCTGAGTTTGCAAAAGCTGCCTGCTCCTACTTAATCCAAAAGCACGGTTATGAAATGACAAAATAAAAATAATGGCGAGCAATAAAGCTGGCAAAATCCTAGACGCTTGGACGTGGTTCATTGCACCTACCATAGCTTTACACCAAAGGCACTTCCAATCTTGCAGGCGTAAAACACTGCCACAAGTCTTGTCACAGACTGCGCATTTGGCACTGACGGGCAGATTACCCTCTAACCACTGGTGAGGCATAGCTATCTGTGAAGAAGTAGTCACAAAAGTTAAATACTCAGAAACAGAAATTAGAGGTTTTTGTCTCTCAAATGTAGGTGGATTTAAACTATTTCCCACAGCTCTACCCTTTCATCAAAGAAGCAGGTATGGCTGACCAGGATAAGTGATACTGATGCTTGCAAGGCAACAGCTATGAATGTGGACTATGGTGGTGTTTCACATGCTAGGCAGAAAACGTGACAGCTGAAGAAGGGAGACACATCTCATTCAACTATTCGTGGTAACCACAAAACAACAGGGCAGTTAAATCTAGAGACTCCGTAATACAAATAAGTACACATTCACTTAATGTATTGACTACATGACACAAACCAATTGAAATAACTAAAATTCAGAAGAATAGACAGGACAGCAGAAAACCTCTGTGGATTTACGTACCCCCTCACCATGGCTGGTAAGTCACAGCTCCATAAAGCAGTCCCTAAATGCAGTGCAAAGCTTTACTCAGTGCACTCTTTGTCCCGTTAATACCACGGGCAACTCAGGACACTCATAGGTATGCAACTTAGTACTAACCTTCTAAGAAGAAGTTTCACGCCAGTGGCACATACACAGTTGTGTTTCTAAATATAACCCATCTATCACAACAAACCTCTGAAAAGCTTTTGTCATTTCTCCTGCTAATTTTAAAATTCCTGCTTTCATCAGTAAAAAGCCCCACACACATCAGTGAATTCCAAACAGGCCTCCTGGGGAACAGCTATTGGTAAGGAGGACACAAAATAGATTGCCACAGCACGGTAACAGTATAAAATACCACCTTTGCTTAAGAGCAGTAGGAACTTCTGGGAGCAATTCTCCAGCTTCAGAGTTTCTCTGCATGCGGCCTTTAAAATCTTGTAACACGGCTGCAATCTAGTGCCCACAGATACTAAACTTGTCTTGTGAGATAAGAATATAACTTCTGTTCTAAATACCACGTTAATCTTTGAAAAGTGTTCAGGAATATAGCCACCTACCATTAACTTCAATGGGTCACATGGCAATATTTCTATGCTTAGCCTTTTTTTTTTCTTCCCATAAAGAAGAAACAGCTTTGGAAAATACTGTAAATATGAATAGTACTTACACCATCTTCATCTTCAATGATGTCTTTTCCAATTGAGGCTAATGTAGTCCATTTGCAGTTATTTGTTGCTCGGACAGCACATCTTTTATGTGCTTTAAACTTACACACTGGAAGGCACACATAAACAAGTATACTATGTTATTTGCTGTATTTCAGTGATACATATCTTTAAAAAAATTACAGATATTCCATAAAACAGCCAAGTACACGTCACTTAGTGTTGCACACATGACACAACCCAACTAAAAGAAAATTCAGTTCATAATCACTCCAGCTTTAACTCTCTAAACTGAGTTTAACTGCTTAGCTGTAGCCCATTTCAGCCCATGTGCCCTGAAATCCACATCGGTCCCCATTTTTTCAGGTACAATGCAAGGTACTAAAGTACAAATATATCTTTAACTGTGTTTTTGCCTTTTCTATTCCTCCAGTGACACAACTCAGATACCTGGTTTAAATTTGCACGAGGTGATGGGAGAGTGTTTCACAGAAGTATTTTCCTTCAGGAGCTCTGTTTTTTTGCTTAAAGGACCCCTTTTGGGCACCATACTATGCCTGTTTTCCCAGAAGCTGAGGAAGTGAAGGGTTAGGTGGTGATATATTTATTCAGGATACTGGTGGTTACAATATTTTCCAAGAGGTTACATTAAGTGAGGAAGAGCCTGACTTCTTACTGGATCGTTCATTAAAAATCTTACTAATTGGAATACTCAGCACCAGTGTGTAATACAGGCAGACATTTTGACAATCTAAATAACTATTTATATTTTGTTCAACTCAATTACTATGACTAGTTAATGATATCATATTAGACCAAACAGACTGACGCACCCAACTGTGGGTATTTCTGTTACTGGAAGTGCATGAGATCATACAATTTAGAGTGCATTATATAAATTATTTTGGCAAAGACCATTAAAGGTTTATGAGAACTAGCCAGCAGACCAGAAGTAGTAGTCTCTTTTCAAACAAATATTTGACAGGAAACTATCAAAAGCTTTGGCCCATCGCTTGTCCACCATTAAAAAACATTAAGCCATGGTACAAAAGGTCTTGTGAATCATACATTTCTCATTTTAATTCTACTGATCCATTGCCAGATCAATTTAAAAAGTGAATTGAGACTATGTAGGCAACATCTGAGTTTGAGAGCAAGCCTCATTGTTCTGGGAGACGTGTGAAAGTATGTGCTTAGCTCAAAGAAAGAGAAGGAAACAGAAAAAGGAATTTTGTTGCTTTTACAGTAACTCCCCTGGTCATTTCGAAAAGCAGCATTCATAGACTCAAAGGGTGCAAATATCCCATATTCCTCAACTAACAGGGTAGGCTCGCATTTTCAGAACAGCTCAGCATCATATTGTGTGTTTGCCAACCTAAGCTGGTTCCAAGCATCTAAGGAAATCAGCTCTGACAGAAGCACAGAAATAAAGGCTGCATTTTCAAGTGATGGGCCCTGAGCAGTTTTGCCACTTGAATGTTTTGGAGAAGATATGCCACTGAATTCAGCTTCCTACTCATAAATGATATGCATTTGTCTTTGCCACACAGATCAAAGTACAACAAATCAGGGATGAGGGGCAATAGGAAATTCCAAATTACGAAGGCATTACAAAGTAAGGGAATTTTCAAATCCTATTGAGCTACAATTCAACTAGATCTCAGGTTTAACCTCTGCTCTCTCAACAAGGCAAGGACAAATTCAAACCCAGGATCTGAGGAGCTGCAGCAAGCCACACCATGGATGGCAAGTGACAGCTAATGTTTGCTTTGTGGGTACAGTATATAACTTACCAAATCTCAGATCAGACTTTCTGTAGGTCAACCCCCTGCAACCCCAATATCATCAAACAACAATTCATGTTACTCTGAGCATTAAACATTATCAAAAACAATGACCTTAAGACACAGATGTAACTTTCGAGCAAAATACATAGCAGTACAGAAGAGACGGGTACAGCAAGGAAACTTTTAAATCAAATCTCAACCTTAGAGTTGAGATTTAGTTATAGTTTATAGATATAGTTACCACTACCCCCTAATTTCTTTTGTCTCAGATGACACTGCATCCCATTCATGAATCAGTCTGATCTCTGAAATCTTTTGGAAACGTGCAGACATACTGCTAGACATCAATGGCCATTACTTCACCAATGGAAGTTAAAAAACAAGAAAAGGAAAAATTTAGCCAAACCAAATCTAGAATTTTCGTAGAACATTATTTTAAATTTTAATTTCCCGTGTAAATGTTTCTAGCTGGAATACGAAGCAGATCTCTCAGAAAGCCAACCAAGAGAACCACTGAATGAGCAAACAGTTGTCACACTGGTACCAACATCTGCTGTCAGACACAGTGATTAAATCTAGAGCTATTATTATCTATAATGAAGAAAAGTCAACATTACTGAGTGTTATCATAGGATCTCTTGCTCTGAAAATATACATCTTCGTTGTAGAACACTTCTGTTTCAAAGGCCTTTCATTCTAACCACCCACCAATTAATTCAACTACATTGGCAGGACACTCAATTTTTTTACCCCCAAACTTACCACTCTACCACCTATTTTATGATGAGTTTTCTCTTCTGTGTTCTTCAAAGAAGAACTGGCTCAGACTGTTCTTTTCCAACTTCAAAGGCCAAAGCCAAAGTTTTGAAACTGATCTGAAGATCCCTGAGCTGGAATCTATAGTTTAAGTTGTCAAGATAGAAGGATTTGTCTTCAGGTATTTCAAGAAACCTGCTGTTTTGTTTCCAAGAATACTATCACATGACAGATGGACAAGCCACAGTGAAAACAGTGTGACTCACGTGAAAACAGCAACCTAACTTCACTCCCATTTGAAGTTTATGTCTATGTTACAAAGGATAAAATTCAGCAGTTTCTCACTAGTTTTACTATTTTCACCCCAATAAATAACTCTCTAAGTTAATTTAATATTACAAACAGTGTTAAAAGAATAGTCATATTACAAAGTCAAATCCTACAAAGTTAAGTTACTCGTGCAACTTAACTTTGCAATATAGCTTTGCAATACAGCTTCTGCATGTAGGTGTAAAGTCTTCAGTTATACGATCATACATTTTTTGAGAATAGGACCCTCATTCACTGCATGCAATGGACAGTTCGTGATAAGTATGCAGCTGTGCCGTACTCTGGTTCATAATAATTTTCAACCGGTATTTGCCTTATTTACTAAAAGCTAATGAAATACTGCTTTTTAGATATTCATTTCTTCCTGGCCTTTTAAAATTATTATTATTATTATTACGCTCAGTACTACTACAATTAAGACCTTTTTTTCCAATACTGTATATCTTCAAAGTATCAGTGACTTCAGAACAGCTTCAACTGATTTTTGCAGTTATAGAAAACTCAGCAGCTCTGTGATACAGGTCCCAGTTTATAAACAACACACAACTACTGATTTGATCAAAAATCTTATTTAAGTGATTTCCCCAGGATTACAGAGGGGCACAGTGTGATTGATACAAAGTCACAGAACACAGTTTTCTATTACTCCTTAATTCTTTAACAATGAACATCCCTTCTCTTCCTGACCGTTTCATTCACTATTCACTCTTCAGCCTGTGCAGAAAATGCGGCAAAAATCCTGGAGACAATGACTACCCAAATAGTGCATGTACAATACCCTGTGCAGTGGGTAAGAAGAACAGGGGTTTTGTGGATGAATGTTGTGGAGATCAGTCCTTTAGAGCTAGCTAGAGCAACGCAACACACAGACAGTATTTGAAAAGTGGATTATCTTTTGAGAAGACATGCATCTCAAAGGAGTGCATGATTAAATTTTTTAAAAGTCAATTGTTTTTTGAGCAGTAGAAAGAATGAAGCCTGGTTTGATATGAATTTACATCTTCAGTTTGATATACATATCGATTCTTTGACTTCTAAAAAGACGCAAGTTCACACTACAGTCTTTTCCCTAGCAAAGGTATTAACATACCCTCTTTTCCTACACTGGCTTCCACAAAACTTACAGGAGTATCTTCAGGGTGACCTGCAATTAATTTGGTCAACCTTTGCCGAAGGCTACTGGGAGGGAAGGTGTCCTGAAAAAAGAAGGCACCTATCTTATCTCCAAAAGAAATGAGGCTTGTTGTGTGGTCAGGCTGAAAAAAACAGTCGTGTAGCGCTGCTGGAGACCAGCAGCTCTAAGAGAATTAAATATTACAGGACTGACCTTCTGAAGTATTGTAAGTTGCAAAATATCAGCAATGGGATTTATTTTTATTTTTACCTACTGTTAACAGTCAAGAATCAGACCACAAAGAGTACAAAGACTCTAAGCTACTTTCAAGATAACTTGGTGTGCCAGTAACCCAAACCACTGAGAGGAGGAAGAGCTCCAATATCTCTTGAGAAGAACATCTCATGCTTCTCAATACAAGACATAATAGAGTAGCCTGGGATCAATGACCACACAAATAATTGAATTTAGTATAGATATAAATGGATTCCCAGCGTAAAGCAGTGCTGGAGGTTTCAGATACCAGGCATGAATATTTAAACGTTTTAAAGATGTAATGAGAAAAAGTAGCACAGAACATGTCTGGGGAATCTTAAGACTCCATACTTCCTACATCATCTCCTCAAACAGTGTATATTGCTAACACAGGGTAAGTAAAAAAAAATAGGTGGTGAAATGCATTAGCAGTGCACATGACAGAAGCAAGTAAATATGAACTCAGTCACATAAGAATTTCAGAGAAAGAAGTAGTATCAAACCAAAATACACTTCTTAGATGAAAAAATTAAGGATGGTTAACACGTGTTTTTATACAGAATCGGGGACAAAGTATGAGTATTCCAGTAAGACAGTCAACTGTCAAATGATTTAGATTAGATGCATAATTAAAGTTCTCCTTTTATTTTTAAAAAAACTTGGGAAAAAAATAAAGAAAATAGATGTAAACTAGTATCTAAGAAGTCGGAGGAGGTAAACTTATTAATAGATAAAAGAATTTCATAGTATCTATATCTAAACCAATCCAGGTCATACACATTTATGAAACTGTGGACCAGTGAAAACAAATCCAAACTACCTTCATGAGCGATTCGTAAAAACTGCTGAAAGACCAACTGGCATCAGAAATGTGGATAAACGTAGCATTAGTTTGTAATAAGTTATGCAGAAAGGTGACAAAGTCCAAATCTGGAAATTAAGGAAACTTCCTTAATGTAAAGTTAATGCCAACACCTTGGAAATTAAAACCATATGTAGAAGCAAAATAAGACACTGAAAAAACAGAAAACTATGAACCACCACCATTAACATTGATAATCTTACAAGAATAATTCTTGTTAAACAGTGTTTTAAAATAGCCATAATATTAACTTATGAAAGGATAAATTCTTTATGAAAGGAAAGAAGTCTTTCCTTTCCTCTGCCTGAGCAAATATAACGGTATTTGTACACAGAGGCAATACAACTGCATTTTAGTTAAGCACACGATACTTCCATCTGCCAATCAGACATTGAAAATACCATAATTGCCTTAAAACTGTCCAAACAACTTATATACAGTGGAAAACATACACCAGAGAAGCTGGAAGTAACTATGCTACTCCTAATTTCTATGAAATGGGTTCGTCTCGTTCCTTGGCAACTGCACCATTAGCTACATTAAAACCATGGACAATTTAGGACAGTGGGTTAATGTTTCCTTTGTAAGATTTCCTTAATACACATTATTATGCTCAGACCTCAAGTATTATAGCAGCATCAATAACAGAAATGCATTTGCAGTTGGGTAACATGCATCCAAAAAATCAAGTTTTGAATGGTGTAACTGTAACTCTTTTCTGGACAGTTAGCTATTTTGGTAATTAAATATCTCTGCATTTCATATATATCATAAGGTCACACGGATGCTTTATTTTCTGCTGGATTCTAACACAAGCAGACTTGTTACCACTTTTTCACAGAACTTGCAGCAGAAAATAAATAAGCTGTTTCAGATTTATTATAAATAATTGATTGCGAAATACATGTCTGCAGATAAGCTTAATGCTGAAGTCTTAGCCACACCTCCTTTTAGTTTGTGCTGGATTTCATCTATTGAACCATCAAAATGCAAAAGCGTCTACATCTCTACTCCCTCACTACATGAGAGAATTTTTAAAGCAATAAATCTGTCCTCATCTGTCCTCCTTGTACTGCAGGATCAGGCAGCAGCAACAGAGCAAACAAGACTTGGAGGGGAAGAGGTCGTAGCACTGAACAAAGTGTTAAGAATTTTTATAGATTTTGGGCAGAAACTACCATTATGATATTTTTCCTGAGGAATGCCGATTCTGCAAACTAGTAAGACTATTTCGTTTCACATTTTTGACGGGCAAATCAAATAAATCCTATCTTTTCTTAGTATCTATATAAACCAATCCAGGTCATACACATTTATGAAACTGTGGACCAGTGAAAACAAATCCAAACTACCTTCATGAGCGATTCGTAAAAACTGCTGAAAGACCAACTGGCATCAGAAATGTGGATAAACGTAGCATTAGTTTGTAATAAGTTATGCAGAAAGGTGACAAAGTCCAAATCTGGAAATTAAGGAAACTTCCTTAATGTAAAGTTAATGCCAACACCTTGGAAATTAAAACCATATGTAGAAGCAAAATAAGACACTGAAAAAACAGAAAACTATGAACCACCACCATTAACATTGATAATCTTACAAGAATAATTCTTGTTAAACAGTGTTTTAAAATAGCCATAATATTAACTTATGAAAGGATAAATTCTTTATGAAAGGAAAGAAGTCTTTCCTTTCCTCTGCCTGAGCAAATATAACGGTATTTGTACACAGAGGCAATACAACTGCATTTTAGTTAAGCACACGATACTTCCATCTGCCAATCAGACATTGAAAATACCATAATTGCCTTAAAACTGTCCAAACAACTTATATACAGTGGAAAACATACACCAGAGAAGCTGGAAGTAACTATGCTACTCCTAATTTCTATGAAATGGGTTCGTCTCGTTCCTTGGCAACTGCACCATTAGCTACATTAAAACCATGGACAATTTAGGACAGTGGGTTAATGTTTCCTTTGTAAGATTTCCTTAATACACATTATTATGCTCAGACCTCAAGTATTATAGCAGCATCAATAACAGAAATGCATTTGCAGTTGGGTAACATGCATCCAAAAAATCAAGTTTTGAATGGTGTAACTGTAACTCTTTTCTGGACAGTTAGCTATTTTGGTAATTAAGTATCTCTGCATTTCATATATATCATAAGGTCACACGGATGCTTTATTTTCTGCTGGATTCTAACACAAGCAGACTTGTTACCACTTTTTCACAGAACTTGCAGCAGAAAATAAATAAGCTGTTTCAGATTTATTATAAATAATTGATTGCGAAATACATGTCTGCAGATAAGCTTAATGCTGAAGTCTTAGCCACACCTCCTTTTAGTTTGTGCTGGATTTCATCTATTGAACCATCAAAATGCAAAAGCGTCTACATCTCTACTCCCTCACTACATGAGAGAATTTTTAAAGCAATAAATCTGTCCTCATCTGTCCTGCTTGTACTGCAGGATCAGGCAGCAGCAACAGAGCAAACAAGACTTGGAGGGGAAGAGGTCGTAGCACTGAACAAAGTGTTAAGAATTTTTATAGATTTTGGGCAGAAACTACCATTATGATATTTTTCCTGAGGAATGCCGATTCTGCAAACTAGTAAGACTATTTCGTTTCACATTTTTGACGGGCAAATCAAATAAATCCTATCTTTTCTTGCAAACCGTCCACACAGCACATTCCAAACTGGTCGCTGCAGCAGAAGGAACCGCTTTATTGAGATGAGTTAGAAAAAGGCACCTGGAGCACGAAGAAGGCAAGCCAGATCATTAGCAGTCCCTCTGCCCAGAAGAAAGTCGCTCTAATGAATAGATATCTCCCTTCAGGCTTTTTTCTGACTCGTTATTTTCAGAATCATTACTCGTCTGAAACTTTCAGCCATCTGTCTACATACGCAGCATTATAAACAGGGGGAAGAACGCGTTTATTTTACCTTCACAAGACAGGCCGTGAGAAGTGACTCCAGAGAGGCTCTCTCTACACACGTTACAGAAGGTAGGTCGGGCATGGGAGCAGGCGTACCAGTTATGCATCCCTGAGAAATGTTCCACATTAAACTGTGCGGTCTAGTAAAGGAGAAGTTAAGACAAATTTGCAAGTACAGAACACAGCTACGGTGACTGAAATTACCTATGGTTCCATATTACAGGGGACGACAATGCAATGTTCACCAAAAGTATTTTCCAAAGGGTATTTAGCCTGCTCTCCCTCCAAACTTCTAAACAGAATTGTGATAATAAGCTCTCATTTCGCTAGTAAAGGTCTTAACATGAAGCTTCGCTCTGACATTAGACACGCTTTTCACACTAAGGAGGGTGAATACTCCCGTTCTGTGTCCTGTAGCTTGATCTGTTGAGGTAGAACAGGTTGCACCAAGAGGGATGTCAACTTACCTCATAGTGTTCTCTGGACTGAACGGACTTCAGAGAGCTTATCCAGTCCTCCATTTCTTTTCTGTTCTCAGCACACAATATTAGCCTCCTAAATGGAGTGATTATCTGAAAAAGATAACGCATTCTGATTAATCCAGATAGTAAAAATCATGATAGGCTATAATAGTTCCAGTACTCTTTCCTGCAAGATGATGCAAAAGGAAGACATGCCCTAGATCACAAGATATTAAATGCTTAAAAATATTTTCTTTAATACACTACCAACAACGAAGGAGTTTGCTTTTCCTTTTTCAGTTCCCAAGATTCGAATCAGGCTTCGGTATAGGTCCTTACAATCTATATTGATCATTCCTCCTTCTCAGCTCTTTGTCTATGCACTGAGATTGAAATACTCAAATGGCAGGCACTGAAACTGCTAAAACAACCGTTCTGGAAATTACTAATTGACTAAGATTGCAATCCTATTTCTTAAAAGCATTATAGCAACTGCAAGGTCCACTCCAATTGCTAGAGACAAAAACACATCAAAATCAAAAGCCTGGAAGCATTAAACAACAACAAAAGCTTTCATCATGTATATTGGTATTAAATTTACACAAATTTAAACATACATAAATTTAAAACAGAACTTTCTATATAAAACTCAGTATAAGAACACATACAGATCTTTATAAAAAGACACAGAGAAGAAAAACAAACAGCTGAAATCATATCCTGCTAGGATGATTGAATGGATTCCTGGAACGAGTTGATGCTGGGGATTTTTCAGTGGTCTGGAGTTGGATTCTAGAAACCTGAATATGCTGTATCTAGGAGGTTCAGAGTATAAGCTGTTTTCCCCGCTCCCTCACCAGTAGAAAAATAATGAAAATAACAGGAAGGCACCACAAACTATCAGCTAACTCCCACTGATATTATTTTGAGCACTGCACTAAAATAGACGAAGCAGTTACTTACATAGCAAAGAATTTAAAACAAAATAAGTACATGAAATTAAAAGAAAGTTATTTGTTTTGTTGTAGGAAGTCTGAAAAAGAAAATTAAATCCTTTATCAGTCTTATGCATAAATCTATTGCATAGTATGTACCACCCACACTTGCAAATTACTTAAGTAAAACAAAGAAAGGACCACCAAAACATGATAGCTGAGTATTGTTTTAAATGCTACAGGCTAGATATTGTAACATTTGCACAATATTAGTAAACACTTATCTACATTTAGCTGCATTTACTTACCCAGTCTCTGCCGTAAATAGTCTCTAGCCTTGATTTGTCCTATCCACTTCTTCATTAAACTGAGCTGCACTTTAACATATCTCAGAGGCAATGTAACTGAAGTGCAGCAAGCTGCAAGTCACATGGAGGGGAGGCAAAAACCCCGTGGGCTTGCTTTTTTTTTTTCCTTTTTTTTTTATGTACTCACTTCACATGGAATGGAATAGTTTCTCTGTTTTCTATTTCCTTCAATCTTGCTTAAGCTTTTTAATAAGGTTTATTAGTAGCTCTCCACGGCTCTTCCTAAAGAACAGTTAATGCAAAGAGCAATGCTTCTCTCATTAGTTTGGAGCCAAACAGACGCTTTATTACTTCAAAATGTTTTTCTAGGCCAGGTCATCAAATGAAGCCCAGAAAAGCCATTAAATCATAATATAACCCTGGCTCCAACAACAATCAGCATTCTGCTGGAATTTCCAGGTTTCAGTGGACTCAGAAATCTTATTTGGGCAAATACACCCACCAGATTACTTCCTATAATATAGCATGACATTATAATATGGATTAAGTAAGGACAAGTCCGCCCAAAGCTCTGCACTTTGCGTCCATCCTTCCCCCACACTCATTACCGATGCTAACCTGTAACCAGATGTTGTGAAATGCCGTTAAGCAACAACAGCTGCATTTATTGCTGAAGACTCCTGACAATCTTGATCTTTTCAAGTAATATTTATTTATATTACTCATGTCTTTAATACTACTGATGACAGAAATCCCTTGTGCATCCCCCCACTCTCCCCCCCCAAAATCAAGGCCTTAGTTCAGTTGTTCACACGTAGTTATCTAGTGCCAATGGAGATGCCCTTTGGTAGCCAGAGCATCGGCACGGGGCAGGTAAGTATGACAGAGGACTATAGCACCCAGAACGGCAGCTATAAATAAGCCAGGTGGGACACCAAAGGCTATCTCAAAAGGTACTACACACCCATGTATTGGCAACCAAATCACGTCACCAAACATTGCTAACTAATGCATGTAAACATACCAGAAATTCCTATATCCCAACTTCTTATTAAATTCAGAGCATAATGAACTTAATAAAGTTCAGAGCATTTCAACAGTCTAAAAGTTAAATTATATACTGACGATCACATGAATGTAGGATCAATTATTATTAGTGCTATAAAAATAAAGTGGAAAGTTGGAAGACATACATATTTGTAAATATAGGATCTATAACATGATGGTTAAACTACATATTCTCTTTGATTTACATATTTTAACAACAAACTTCAGGAAGGTATATGATAACATGAAAAAAGACAAAATGCATTATATACAAAACATTTCAACAATGCTTGATTTTTTCTTAAAAAAAAAAAAAAAGAGAAACAAAGCAGTCCATATAGGTTCTCATCTATTTCAGTCTACAAAATCATGGAGAAGATGTACTCTCATTATTTATTAGATATTTCACGCAACATAAGAACTCAGGAAACCAAGGAAATTATTAACAAACAACAAAAAGTGTTTTTTCCTAAATGTAACACATTATTTAGACTTGAACAGTATTCCCAAAGGATACTGAGGACACCAGAAGTATAAGTGTCTAAAAAGGTATTTGACAAATTCATCACGAATAGATGCATCATATACAATAACATACAATATCCGAAACCTTCAACTTAGCAAGTCTTCAAAATCCAACAAGAAGTGAATGTTGGGAAGTTACGCAAGAGGAAGAATCACTGTATGTGCTCTGCTGCTTATACTCCTTTCTTGAGTACCTGCTACCGCTATTACACTACTTTGGTTCAGTATGGTTTTATGAGCTTTACGCTAACTCAGTATAGCTGTTCTTGCTTGTCCTAAAGTGAGAATGACTTCCTATACCTTCTTATTTGCTTTTACACAGAAGGCATGCTTTCTTATGGATGTTTACAGAATGTTATGATTAACTAACTTAAGTGGGACGTTTAGAGTGCATTCATTAAAGACAGTTGAACCTGTATGCAGACATAATCAAAATTAAAATGGATTTAATTGTCCTTAAAACTATTTTCCAGCCATGTAAATTTGCATTTTACTAGTAATTTTATCTCATTGCATGTAGTCGTATTCAAAGCCCTGTATCTTTTCTTCTACTGACCAAAGTCAGTATCTTTTCTTCTATTACATATTACCTTTTTTTAAAATTAATGCTCACTGCCCCAAATATTATTATTTATATATCACTCTGAATATGCTAAACTCTCAACAGACAAGAAGAAATTGTATAATACAATGACAAAGGAAGTGTCACAGGAACTACTGGAAGACCATTGAGGTAACATAAGAATAAGAAAACTCTTAAATCTTGGAGGAACTCAGGTGCTAATGGTTCACACACTGACAAAGCAGGAGACAAATCAAGAAGGATGAAGACAGACAAAAGGCCTTAAAAATAAATAAATCAAGCAGATTTAATTTAGAAGATTAAGTTACTTTGAAAATTTTCACTGTTGTCAAGTAGCCAAGAAGAAGTCATTGCCGATTTTGGAAGAGAGAGTTATCAAAGCCAGATACTGCAGTATATTGGAAAGTAATGAAATTGAGGTAGTGGGAATAAAAAACACTTTTAACGCAGTAGGTATAGGGAAAGAGTGAGCATATACAGTCTCAAAAGTTGAAGGCAAACAACACAAGTCCTAAAACATCATAGAGAATAAAGAATGTCTGGATAGGAAGAAAAATGGTCCATTACTGTGATAATGTTCCTTTCTATTCAGAAAAATAGGGGACTTTTTGAGTGGGGAATGAAGGAGAGAACAAGAAGACATTGTTCAGTCTGCCACCATATAGGTCTTGCCATAAATTGGGATTTTTGCACATGTTGACACTAGGATAATTTGGCTTCTAAAGATATACACATACTCATATATATATATATGTACATACACATCTGGAAACTACTTTGATGAAAATTACACAGTCAAGTTTTGGGCCACTACTGCAACTTTTCTTTCAAACAACACCTATTAGGAACAAGCTTAACATCTTGAAAGGAAATAAAATTGCCATTAAATTTAGTGTAAATCTGAAAGCACCTTTCGCTTTCAAAGGGGCTAACTTTACCAATAACATTCTATATGCCTTCAACCCAATGGGTTTAGACTTACGATCTGTAAAATAAACTCATACAGAGTTCAATTAAAGCCTATTGCCTAATTTTTAATATATTTTATCATATCAGCAATATATAAGAAAATACAATTCCCAAAGCTTGGTGGCTACATTTCTGGTTTCCTTTACCGATTCAAAGAAAAATGCAGACACTACATTTGCTAATCAAGAAAATAACGGTCTACATCTCAGCAGCAACACAGCAGCTATTGTAAAGCACCCTGCTTCCTGCAACATGATATTTGCATTAAGGCACCTTCTGCTGCTCTAAACTATTATCAGGCATTACACTAATAGCACTTTCTATGGCCGATCTTGAATTGACTTAGTAATGTAGAAACATCACTTAGAATCCGAAATGGGCAGGGAAATGGTTTTCCTGTTCTTTGAACAGATATTTTTAAAATATCTTTCTGGAACTAATGAAGAGAGGGTGATATAAAGAGAGCGAGCACCCCCACCTCTCCTCTTAGGGACCGCACCCGATGCCTGGCGCATGAACGTAACAGATTTAATACTGTGTAACTTCTCAGTGCTTCTAGACATTGGCGAATGAGTTCTGGCAAATACCAGGATAACATGTTAATGCCTTGCTTGCTTTCTGTCTGCCCCTATATTTCCCTGTCCTCATGCAGGTGGGTCCATATGAATGCGACGTATGAATGCACCTCCATCACAGTGGTGGGAGTAGACCGCTGGGGTCATTGATGCTCCCGTACCTACCAGA